CCCCCCGGCGGCGTGAGCAACTCAAAAGGGATTGCGCCGGTCATCGGACCAGCCGACAATTTCCAAGAGGAAACCCCCCCACCCCTCCCCGACCCCCCGCTGTCTTGTGATGCGTCCCGCTCCACCGAGGCATCGATCCATGTCAGGCCAGTGCCGAGCAATTCTGAGCTACCGTCGCAGTACTTTGTAGACATATCCCCCTACCTTGATTGCTTGACTCCATGGCGGGCTTGCACAGCTCCGAAGAAGAGCGAACGGCGACGGCGGAGTGGACGGCTCCACCGATTCCCGTATCTAGTGACTTTGGGATCAGTCATATAATCACTCATCCACATTGCGTGAGAAGATTCCTTTGATATAAAACGTGATTGGGATGGACTGGAGAGGATTCTGTGCTTCCACGATCTGTTGCTATACATACTTTACGTGCCTACAATCAAGAAGCTTGACATTCAACCCCTTGCATCACACATCTGCAAGCCATTGACATCTCACCGATAAAGGTCTCACAGCTACCTTCCTTACACATCACATTACATCAGCCACTCAATCCTGACTCTCATCTATAAACCACACACACACACACACACACACATACACCGCTCATAATCAACACACATCATCCTGACTTGACCCGGCCCAAATCCCATCACCGGAAGCAAATGACAATCAGACCAATGTCCGCCACAGAAGACACATCAGCGCACAAGCGCAATGCCTCTGCGACCAGCGCAGTCCAATCCACCCCTCCACCCGCGAAGCGTCTCACGGCACCGCTATCCTCAGTCGCAGCCCTCCCGCCCGCCCGCCGCGAGTTCCCCCACGCCATCGCTCTAGTGCTCTACCGCGACGGCGGCGACGAAGCCTCATCCACCACAACCGTGCTCGGCGCCTTCGCCGCGCTGGCGGACGCCAACGCCGAGGTTCGGAGGGTATCCAGGGAGCAGGGCGGCGCTGCTTCCTCGGCGGTAGACGCCACGAGCGACCTCAACCCGTTGCGGTGGGATGCCCCTGACGGCGTGTCGTGCTGGGTTGAGCTGCATGCCGTGAAACCTAAGAGTTTCGTGCCAAAGTCCACGTCCGCTTCGCCACAGCAGAAGCAGCAAGGAGGGGATCAGCCAAAGAAGTTGTATGATTCTGACGAGGGTGAGGATCCGGATATTGATGATGAGCTGGATGAGGGAGGGCATTACGACTAAGGGTAATGATTACTTTGCCTTGAGCTAGGGGCCAGAGAGGTAACCCCTGGATCGGGTGTTGGGAAGGGTCTATGGTTGGCCTGACAATTATACCTGTGCCTACGAGTCGTTGAATATGCGGCTCTGCCTGACGAGGTTTATGAAGCATTGGTCCGGTGTTACGGTTTTATTATATATGTGCGGCAGCGTTTTATAGAGATTGGAAACCCCTCTATTCTGCCTTTCTTTCTAGGAATCTAAAAACAAAAGATCTCTTCTCTCGCGACGGAATCTTGCTCTGTAGTGTCTTGTACGCCGGAGAAAATCTACGAGCACGTGCTACTACTCTCTTTTACGACTGTCTAAATTGCGATGACGTTGTCTATTCTACGTATGTCACACAATGGGCGTCTACAACTTGGCCTTGGGGGCCTCTTGCTGCTGCATCTTCTCTGCGACGATTCGGCGCTGAATCTTGCCTGTGGCTGTCTTGGGCATCGTCTCGGTGAAATAAATCTAAAATTTGTCAGGCAAAAACTCTCATGAGAACTCACAGAGCTGTCACTCACCTTCTTGGGGACCTTGAACTTGGCAAGCTTCTCCTGCACCCAGCCCTTCAACTCGTCGCCCTTGAGCTGCTGTCCTGGCTTGAGAACGACGGCTACACCGATATCCTGGCCGTACATGTCGTCGGGAATAGCGAAGCTGACGGCCTCGGAGACGGCGGGGTGGCGGGTCAGGACGTTGTCGAGCTCAATGGGGCTGATCTTCTCGCCGCCCTTGTTGATGAGCTCCTTGATGCGGCCCGTGATGACAATGTAACCATCCTCGTCCTTCTTGCCCTGGTCGCCCGTGCGGAAGAAGCCGCCCTTGGTGTAGGACGAGGCATTGGCGGCGTCGTTGTTGAGGTACCCCTTGGTGACGTTCTCGCCGCGGATGCAAATCTCGCCTTCCTGGCCCTGCGCGAGCTCGTTTCCGGCGTCGTCGAGGATGCGCACATCGACGCCCTGACCGAGACCGACGGTGCCGGGCTTGCGCTTCGCCGGCGGGAGGGGGTTGGAGGTCATCTGGTGGGCAGCCTCGGTCATCGCGTACGCCTCGAGAACCGGCGCCTTGTACGTCTCCTCCAGCTGGTGGAAGACGGTGGGCGACAGAGGCGAGGAACAGGAGCGGATAAAGCGGATGGCGGGCAGCGGGTTGGGTGTCGGGTTCTTGAGGAGGATCTGGTGGATGGTTGGCACCGCAGTGTACCAGTTGGCCTTGTGGGTGATGAAGTCTCCCCAGAACTCGGTGGCCGAGAACTTGCTCGGGACGACCATGGAGCCGCCGCATGCCAAAGGTGCGAGGAGGCCGCAGAGAAGACCGTGGACGTGGAATAGGGGCATGACCAGCATGGTGCGATCCTCACTTGTCAGCTGGTAGGTGTTCTGGATGTTCTCTATTATTCGTGTCAGCCTGGTATTCGGCTCTTCTCTCTCTCGATTTATACTTACTCATCGTTCTGGTCAGGTTGCGATGCGTCAGAGGGACCTATATGGAATTAGCTTCTTCATACTCTTGATTATCAGTAAACCGATGCAGACTTACAACTTTCGGTCTCGAGGTGGTTCCGCTAGTGTGCAGAACCAAAGCAACGTCGTCAGTCTCAGCCTTCAACACCTTCTCAGGCCCCTTGCCCTTGAGCTGTCCCAGATCCTTGACATCTAGCGCGACCTCTCTTTTGGACTCATCCCAGTACGTCTCAGCAACGGCGGCGTTGAACTTCTTGGCGGCCTTGACGGCAGGCGCACCGGCGGCATAAGCGCCCTTGGGAACCAGCACGATGGCGGACTTGACGTCGTCAATGTAGAACTCGAACTCCTCCTGCTTGTAGGCTGGGTTCAAGGGCGCGGCAATGCCACGCTGCCATGAAGCGGCCAGGAAAGAGACGATGAACTCATACGAGTTAACGGTCGCGATGGAGACGGGCGAGGCCTTTGTGATGCCGATGGCGGCCAGCTTGTGCTGGAAGGCCGAAGTTTCCCGTACCAGATCGCCGTAGGTGACTGTGAGAGCGCTGGGCTTGGACGGAATAATGACAGCCGTCGAGTCGGCCGGGCCGTTGATGGCGGTTTGCAGAGTCAGAGCCATCTTTGAGCACTTGCGTATGAGTTTTGTCTCTCACTCTATTGGACGGCAAGGTGTTGAATGTGCGTGACCGGACGACAGTTGAAAAGTTACAGCCACCAGCGGATTCGGAGAAGCTTTTGGAGTAGGTAGGGTGAGGTGGTGGACGAACAGATGAACCTGTCCAGTCAAGGATAGTAACCAGATATTCAGGCTAGAGCAGACAATTAGACAGTCAAAAGCTTACATGAGTGAGCCGTTCAATGCATAAAACATAGAAGTGAAATACAAGTCTACGTTGGAAACGATAGTTGAGGCACAATGGTCGACTGACTAGGACGATGATGTGCTCCGGACCAGCCCAGCCTGGGACAAGCCGGATCACCCCGGTCGGGTTTTCTCAGCCCACTACCCATTGCCCACCATGGCACTAAACCACTGTAATAGATACCCTCCAGCGCGAAGCTCAGATCAGCGGGTGGCTCTTCCCCCGCGTACCCCCCGAGGAAACGTGGAAATGCGCTTGCGCGGCGGGCTGGGCGCTGTGCCGGAACGCGCAGAGGTGGGTTTTCAGTGGCCCAGCGGTCGTGGAGGTGCTGAAACCCAGAAACCCAGGCGGCAGGGCTCCGCTTTACTCACGGAAGAACGGCACCCTCAGTACCTACATAGGTAGTAGACCAGCGGGTTGGTTGATACCTACCTTAGGTACTTTACTTTACGTCAGGTTCCTTGTACTTTACCTTACGGTTTACACGTGGGTCGGTCCGTTCAACAGCTTCCCAGCAGCTTCGAACTTCGCCTTGCGAACCAGGCTGAGCCAAACCTGTCGTTTCTCTTGCGACGGTTCGAACCCTCGCTACCGCGGCGCGCCTACCACGCAGAACATACCCGATACCCTTCGAGCCGAAGATAGATTACAACGTCAACCCTTCACTGCCACCCCATCGCGCCGAACACAAGCTCAATGGCGGCGCCGCCACCTCCACCTCCGCCGGCGCGAGGAGGCCTGTCGCTCTACGCAAACCTCCTCGAGCCGGTCGCCAACCCCTCGGCCACGATCTCGAGTGCTCCCGTCCGCTATAACCAAGACGGCACGGTCGCTGACGCGAAAGATGGAGCGACTGCGAAGAAACTCATAGATCCATGTACCGCCACCGCTCCCCTTTGCTCTTGCTTCTGAAAACACCTTCAGGATTACAAGAAACTTACTCCACGTCCACCTGCAGCACTCCGCTTCCAGCCCATTCGCAGACCACAAGCAAAGACCGCGAAACCGAAACCAAACTTCCCTAAAACGTTACCCGGTGCCAACACCTCCGCCAGCGCCGCTGCCACGACAACTTCATCGGCACCAGCATCCTCCTCGGCAGCCTCCCAGCAACCACTGCCGCCAAAGAGCACCCTCGCCGACTGGGCCGCGACAGACGAAGACGAGTGGCGCTACAGTACGAACGCAGGTGTTGGTGGCGCCGGCGGAGGTCACCAGCGCGGCGGCCGCAGGAAGAAGAAGAAGAAGGGCAACAACGACCAGCCAGCGGAGACCAACTGGGACGACATCTACGACCCGACAAAGCCCACCAACGTCGAGGAGTACCTGCGCAGCGACGAGCGGATTCACGAGGTACAGGAGTGGAAGAGACTGCTCTACCGCCACCGGAGACGCAGGAGTTTGAGCGATGACAGTGACGAGGAGACGGAGCGCCGACCGGCGATGAGTGAGTCTTCCGGCTCCTATGGAACCCCGTCCACATTTGCGCAGAGATCCGCCACTAACTTACACTTCTTAGACCAGTTCGCCCCTCCACTCGAGTACTCATTCGTTCCCCCGCCCCCAATCTCACCACCGCCAGCCGAGCCTCGATCCACAGAAGCAGCAACGGGAGACGACGCATACGCCCGCCGCCTAGCCCTCTCCGCATCCGTACCGCCTCCGCCTCCTCCGCCACCAGCCGACGCAGCAACAATTTCCCGCGCCCCGGTCCGCTACACCCCATCCACCAAAGAATCACCCGCGGACGAAGGCGAGCCCTCAGACCCAGACTCCCCACCCCCGACCCTCGGCCTCGGCGCCTCCTCGACAACAGAGGAGCAAGAAACAACCCCCTCGTTAGAACCTCCGGCCCCGCGTTCGTCACGCCCGGGCCAAGCTGGCTTCGCCCAGCGCCTGATGAGCAAGTATGGCTGGACAAAGGGCTCCGGCCTCGGCGCAGACGAGTCCGGCATCGTCAACCCGCTGCGGGTGCAGGTCGAGAAGCGCAAGAAGAAGTCGGACGCCAAGGGCGGCGGCTGGGCCGAGCCGGCCGGCCGTGCAAAAGTCATTGGCGGGAAGCGCAGGGACGACGTCGAGAGCAACGGCAACGGCAACGGCGGCGGCGGCGGCAAGTTTGGCGGGCCCATGAGTGAGGTCATTGTCCTGCAGCGGATGCTGGATAATATGGAGGACCTGCAGGGCGAGATCGCCAACGGGCTTGGGCAGGAGATTGGGGAGGAATGTGGTGAAAAGGTCAGTGAAAGCGCGAGGAGAGCAGAGGGAGAGAGGGGGTTGTGGGGTTGGCCTGTTTCGCATATCTCCCAAGATAAAGAAATTCCGTGTTGTTCAGATGCTAACAACTACTTGCTCATAGTACGGCCGAGTCGAGCGATTGTATATTGACGTTGAGAGGAGGCAGGTCTTTATCAGGTTTACGGATCAAGTCTCTGCCCTCCGTGTAAGTCTTCCATCCCCGTCGACACTTTCCGAAGCCGGAGCCGCCCTCTAATGACGTTCTAATTACAGGCAGTCAATGAACTTGATGGGCGTGTGTTCAACGGCAATGTCATAGTGCCAAAGTTTTTCGACACGGAAAAGTTCGACAAGGGGATTTACCAATGATGCAGAATATTAGAAACAATTAATATAAAGATGTACAATTAATATAAAGATGTACAGGTTTACAATATCGCCATTCGTGACTGAGATGAAGGGGTCGTCCCGACAATCATTGCCATGACATCGATTCAAGTTGTGTAGCTTGCCGTCAGACAAATCACTTGAACCAAATTCAACAGTGGAAGCAAGAAATGTCGAAAAAGGTATACACATCATGGATCCTCAATACACACTACAGCCCTCTCTATCTTCGTTGCCTATCGCCTTCTCGTCCACCATCATTCTCACGCCTCCGTCAGGTATCTGCCTTTGCCACTGCCCGTGTTTAGCCATCCATCATCCAAGCTCTCGACACGCCGCTCAACCGAGCCCTTTTCCCAAAATCGTCTAGGCGGGATATGTAGCGTGACATGGTCGGAACCGAATGATGCGATGGAAACGACGTGACGCGTCGGTCTGTAGGTGCTTTTGGTTCGTCACGCAAAAGAGAGTAAAAAGTCGACGAGGGTCCGTTACATATCCACCCGTCGTCAAGTATTAAGTCTAGAGGTTCTCCTTTACGAAGGAGGTTCCCAGTCTAGGGAATGCGTGGGGGTTTTCGCAAACTGTGAAGACAGGATTGCAGTAAAGAAATTGCACAAACAGTGAAAGATGTATGGAGAACGCCACCATTATCCGAGCCCTTATTTCGAGTTGCCATTCCTTTACAACAGCTGAGACAGACCGAAGAAAACAGCAGCGCCCAGAATGGCAGTGTTGACGGCGAAGCTGCCAGCGGCATTGTCCTTGCCGGTGTTGGGGGAACCACCAGCAGAGCCGCCGGTGCTGTCGCCGCCCTCGTTGGCCTTGGTGTTGTTGCTACGGCACTTGTAGTCGCCCTGGATCTGGCGGCCCTCCATCTTGTTGAAAACGTCGCAAGAGGTGTCAATGTCGCCAGTGGACTGGGTGTCGAAGGCACCCTTGACGTCCTGGAGAGCGGGAAGGTCGACCCTACACCATCGTTAGATTGTAACCAAAACAGACTCGCCGTTTGACTTACTCAGTGAAGTTGCCACGAAGGAGGACAGCACCGCCAATCTGCTGAAGCTTGGGGAGACCGTTAATCTTCTGGAGGAGGGTGTTGTTCTGGATGGTAAGACCGCCACCGGTCTTAGTGAGGAGAGGCAGAGACAGGTTGGTGAGCTCAACGTTGTTGATGAAAGAGACATCGCCACCGGTCGTCTGGGTCAGGTTGGGAGCGATAAACTCGGTGAAGGTGTTCTTGTCAAATTTGATGGAGCCGTTGACGACCTCGAGGGAGTCCATCTCGACCTTGGCGGCATCGGCGATGATAATCTCACCGGCCCAGATAAGGTTGGGGAGGGTGATTCCCAAGTCAGGGCCGTTGGAGTTGATCTCAATGGTCTTGGTGGCGTTGGCCAGCTGGTTGCTGTAAGAAACGAGCTGGTTGTTGTTGTTAATACGCAGGGAGTCAACGGAGGCAACGTTCAGGCCGTCCAAGCTCTTCAGGAAGGTGTCGCTGATGAGAATGTCGTTAACCTTGGTGACACCAGCGGTACCGAAGACCAGAGAGCCGAGAGCGGGCAGCGTAACCCAGTTGATGGAGCCGACGGTGGCGAGGGACGTGAAGCGCAGGTCGGAGAGGAGGGTCAGGCCCTGCATCTGGAAGGCACCCTCGATGGAGGCAAGGGTGGAGGAAGTAAGGCCAACAAGTTGAGTGACGTTGGTAACGATTAGGTCGCCTTTGATGGTCTTAGGGCCATTGATATCGATGTTGCCGGTAATATCCTCGGAGATCTTGACGGCACCGTTGATTGTGGTGCAAGGAATGGCGTTGGCCATCGTAGCATCGGTGATGGTAAGAGTGGGTTGGGAGCAGATGTTGGTGGTGGTCGTCTGGGCTGGAGGAAGCGTATAGCGATTAGAAAATGTACGTGTCGCGAGGGCAGGGCCACAAGTACAACTTACCAGAGACAACACTAGCACCGACGGCCGCGAGGGCGGTGATGAGCTTGGAGTACATTGTGATTGGATTTGGACGCTGTGCTTTCGGAGTCAGTTTGTTTGTTAAGAAACGACGGTTCGCGATGGTGGTTGAACGGAAGGATAATGGAAGCGTTGATTGAGGAATTGATTGGAGTCTACTCCAGGTTGGTAACTCTGAAGCTGTTCCAAAAAGCTCGACGTTGGTTGTAGAGGGAGAGGTGGGAAGGAGTGAAGGAAGTCAACTATTTGGGGGTCAGGTGGATGGGTTGGTTGGATACGGGGGCTCTGGTGTTTCTTGTGTGTTTCTGAGGGAACCTGCGAGCGACTCCTTTTTCCCCAGATATCGACGATGCCACGGCGGCTGACGGTGGAGCGAGGTGTAAGGTAGGGCAGAGAGGTTGTGGGACAAGATGAATTTGAAATGTGTTTTGGGGCAGGAGCAAGTGAAGAGGAGGCAGGAGGCATTCCAAGAGACGCGGGAAGCAGTGGATGGCGATTTCCTGCCGAGCATTGGCAGCCGCTCCGCTCTCCTTCTCGCCTACGGCCTCCTTCCTCACGTTGGGTTTGTTTCCGTGTCGTTCAACGATGGTTACGTACCTTTTGTCCACGGGTTATTTCTTCTTCTCTTTCTCGGTGATGTATAAAAGGGAAGCTTTGTTAGGTAGGACACGAGAGCCTTTGTTGCGTACAGAGGGTGAACGAGAGACGGGAACTGAATGTCAAAACGAACAGAAATGAAGCTGTCACGGAAGGGGAAGAGGAAGAAAATGATCTGGGGGAGGGAAGGATGGATGAGACTGGACTTTGAGTGGTGCTGGTGGTTGGCGTGGACTGGTGCTATGAAGGGTAATAGATGTAGAGGCGGACCCGGGAGGGTGTGGCTGGAAGGGGAAACACTCTTTTTGGAGAAGGGGGGGGTGTGATCGCTCTGGTATGAGAGTCTCTCTCTCATGCCGCTCCTCCAGCGAGAGAGAAAGAGGGAGGCAAGGAATGGCCCGAAAGAAGGGGGGTCAAGGCAATTATCACGCTGCTATTCGTGGTGCACACTGCGGGTACGAGGTAACCAAGACAGGGACCAGGGCTGGCGAGGGTGTGGTCAAGACTGGAACTGGGACCAAAAATTGACGGACCGGCGCCGTCGAGGACTCGAGGCTGGGCTACCTTGGCCTGCTGGACGAGGGAACGAGGGAGAGAGAGGGAGAAAATCGAGACTGAGAACGGTGTATCCGTATTCTGTACAGAGTAGGAAACTTACGCGGCTTCGGCTTCGGCATCGTCACCATTGAAAGTTCAGTGTGGTGATACATTTTCAGATGTGTAGAGGTGGCGAAGCTTCCGCGTATTCAGTCCGTCGTGGCAGTCCCTCAGGTTTGATCGTTAAAAAGACGTCTTCACCCCCATTGGCTTCCGTTCCAGACTCAACAGTCCTACGTACTTCCAACTGGGCTTAAGTTCTGGAGGGATCTCGCTGGCACAGTGCCGAGCTCCTCAGCTCAGTTGGGCTCATCAATGTGCTACGGCGTCGATGGAAACCCCGTAAGCTCCCGCCGTTGTGGATATGGTGTCGCAACTTGTAGGTTGTTTTCGTTAGACGCTGGCAGGTCACAGACAGATACACTGGCACTGGCACTGGCAGAGGCCGAGGCAAAGTCTGTGTTTTTCGCCTGTCTGTTCATCCGCCATTGCTGCAGCAGTCAGTGGGTTGCTTCTGTGGCTGGCAGGAATTCTGGGAGTCTTTCCTCCAGTCTGTTTGTTTTCTTTCTTCCTTCCTTTCCCTTGCCGTCTACAGGCACGCCTCCCCGGCCCCCCCTTTTTCACTACATTGTAGAGTTTATCTGCTGACTCCAATGCCTGAGCCTCCTCGAGTCCTGCCTCCCCTATGCATGGGGGATCTGCTATCAAGACTTCTTCCTCGACGCATCATGACGGAGCAAAAGGCCGTAGCAAAATTTGAATGGCTGATTAGAGTGACGATGGAATCGCAATGGGCGCAACAGCCGGGACCCATTTGGCAAGACTGGCATTGAGCCATGGCAACAACTCTGCAAATAACCCTGCTTCCACCGGTCTGGCGAGATTTGAAGGTCTTGGTTTCTGGCCTAGCTCCGCCCATCGGGAACCACTTTGGAGCATCCATCTCCCTCTTTGCACTAGTACAGGGGCAAGGGGTAGAGATGAGGGGTGGGGTCTTCGGGTGGATACCATCAGAAAAGGGGGGTGTTCCTTGTGAAGAAGATGGGCAGGATCAGACACAACAGACGCAACAATCTCAGGCACGACCACAGCGAGCACACACGCACACACACACACACACTTCCCGTCCGACACCTCAACTGACAACAGTCAGCAAAAACCTTACTCCAAAAGGCAATTGGACTGACTTGCGAGAGTTGACGTCTCTGCTGATCATTAGGACGAACATGCATATGCTTGATAAAAAAAAGAAAAGAAAAGAAAAGCATAAAAAAACCAGTCTCTCGCGCACACGAAAACCTCGAGCCAGAAGAATAAGCGTTCCTCGTCCAATTTCCAATTTGCCTTGCCCGAGGACGGAATTCGATCCAAATCTCCATTCTCTGTTACGCCTCGAGGAAAATTCTGTCCAAAGTCAATGCGCTAGGCCGGCCGATGCGAAACCTTCCAGTTATTGTGTGGTGTCTGGGCCATTCTCGACACGAGCATACACGCTACAATACAATGCCTAGGTATCCGTAGTGGCAGTGACGGCAAAACTATACAAAAGCAACGAGAGCACAAGCAAAACAAAACAACAACACAGCCCATCATCTACCTCGCCTCGCCTCGAGTACCTCCACAGATCATGTCCGTACCTTACATAAGTTGCTGCACTTGACCCTGCGCAGTAAGGTCAGGCCCTTCAAATGGATAGTGGATGGACATGGGAATGGCCGACGGACTCGCCCACTCTCCAGTTGTCCCACACGAGGCCTTGCCAAGGTCAGACATGAGAACCTGCTCCGCCATCCACCAACCAGAGTCTGAGGCTTTGCTCCGCGGCTGCTGAAAGCCTGAACCACTCAGGGCACTCGCTGATAGCGCCTGGGGCCCATTGAGAATGAGGCCCCAGCCGGGACTTCCTTTCTCTTGCAGAAGTGTAACTTAAGGACTCCCAATCCACACTTGGTCCCACTTCAATCACCAATCACCATCCACTGTCTCGAGCCAGGCCTCATCTAGCAATCAATCTACGGACCGACCTTTTTTGATCGCACACCCAATCCGTATTGGTACCGATGGGTGCCGCCGACAATTCGCTCCCAAAGGTTCCTGCTCAAATCAACGAAGCCTTGCTCAGCTGGCAACGAGCCCCCCATCGTTGATCGCCTCTTTCCCCGAAAAAAAAAAAAAAAAAAAACCATCACACATGATGCCAACTTTGTACCAGGTACATTGCCCAGCACGCCACTACCGGCCGTCAGAAGGAAGAAACGAAAAAACAACGCGGGCGAGGCGAGCTACGTTGGCTATCCATCCACAAATTGTTTCGTTTTCTTGAGCGGGCATGCCGTTATGATTTTCAGAATCATCGGTTCAGGACTGCCAGCATCACCAGGAGCCGCTGTAGTCAATGACGCAGTTGCTCGACCATCCGAAAGATTAGGGGCACGGCCATGGCCTGCACTCAACAGAAGCTGCGACGAGGGTCTGGAAGAAGCAAGGTTAAAGTATCCAAACTTCGGCTCAGTTTACGGATGGGCCATGGCCACTCGCCTGCAGATATCAAATCATGCCTGGTCGTCTGGGCTCTCAGACTTTAGCTGGCGGCCTTGAGTATGACTGCAACCAACCCACGGGCAACAACTTGGCTGTGCAGACCTGCAGATAGCGCGACGCGTCCGACAAGAGTATGTGGCCCATGTCACATTATCATTGGTCGTCGCCATTCATCGACGGCTCGACACTGACGGCAGCTTAAAGCGGGCGGACGTGGGTCCGTCCGTTGGTCTTGTGCAATCAACCTGCGGTCCATCTGCAACCATCGGCTCTGTCAGTTAATCCTATCTGCAGTATTGCTGCAGCAGTGCGGTGGTGGATGAGACGAAGTCGATACCCGGAACCAACCACGGCGATGCGACCCTCATGGGCCCTCACCACCATCAACGGCAACGGCACGACAGTTCATTGTCTCGCGTCGCTAGCCATTTCGATATCTACTCACACCGACGCCAAGACCCTACCAAGAATACGTCAGCACGGTTTGACGATGCCAGACTTGCGAGAGGCGGCTGAGTGCTGACGACTTTTTGCCTCCCACCGGTTCCCACCGGTACATTCACGCCTGGCTTTTTCACTAGTCCACGACAGCACACTCGGCTGCGACTGGTCGGAACTGAGGCTGCTTCCCGGATTCGCTCTGCCACGATGCCCCCACCGAGACAACGAGTCAAAGTGGGATGCAAATATACTCAATGGCATTCTTCCTGCCAATTCGCCCCAAACATCAGCACCTGTCTGGTCCTCCCGATATTTGCTTTCTGTGTTCGATGTCCGCGAAGTATGATCATCAGCCGATGGATAAATATCCACCAAAAGATAGGAGGTCGGAATGGCAATACAAGCGATAAACGAAAATTACCAACACAGCCAGATTGCATCGCTACTACGCACCATATTACCACATGCCAGTCTTCATTTTCGATATCTTTGCCGGCATCCTGTTCGCAGGCGGCTTTGCGTGCCCGTGCCGTACCCTTCTAGTGGCACACCCGCCCCCCGGCTTGTCTGCGCTCGTCCTAGCTTCCCAATCTCGACCTGCAGGGGGTGCCCAGGGCTTCCAGGTTTGCCAGGTTTTCCGGTAGCCCTTTTCAGCTGTTGTGGCTGCCGTTTCTGAAAACCGCCAACGGCACGAACGGCGCTGGCCAAACAAAGACTTCAACAGCCGATCTTCCATCGCGGCTGATCTATGTCACAAATGGCTGACTGCCGCACGTCGGATATCTGGGACAGATATCTGGAATCAGACGGCTGCGTGGTGCTCCGTATATCACCCTGAAACTTTACTCAATGCGTTCAATTCTTGATGCCTGTGGCGTGGCCACAAGCACAAGCAACATGCGTTACACTGCAGTTTGTGACGCAGATACCTGATGTTCTAAGTTGGTCTGGTACCGGCACCTACCAGTTCGTAGCAACAATATGTTCATCCTGCGACAAGACTTCAAACATCGGCATCCTTGGCTAACGCACGTACAACCCCCATAGTCATGGGCACCCAGACGGAGCATCCGCGTGGAGAAAGCATCCGTTCCTGCCACGAACCGCCTCGTTCTGCTTTAACACGGCCCGCGGCAGCTACATGCCGTTGGCCTCACATATGATGTATTTGTGTCGCCGTCGCGGCTCACCATTTGCTCGTGGCACCTGTGCCGGTGCGTCAGTCAACCCGCAACACTTCACGACCCCAAAACACAAAGCTGTGCCGCTTTCCGACTGTCCGCATGCCTTGACTCGGGCAGGCAAATCCTGAAGTGCAAGTCTAACTCTGACCGCCGCATAATACTGGCAAGTCTGAAAGATTGGTTGACTTGGGGCATCGGGGTAATCCTGAATCGACCAGAGGGATGATATGGGTGCGCGAGTGCTCCTCTTTTGAATTGTCATCTAAGCCGCTCAACTTTGACTTGAAAGATTAAAATGATGTGTATTCGCTACCGAGAGCCTCATCGAGAAAGCTCACCACCCTTCTTTCGATCTTCGTGGGCGTGGGTGGGAGAATCGACAACTCGTATCGCTGGGACTCGTATTCTTTCCGGAACTCCACATGCCTCATTAATATTTCTGCAATTTCGCGATATTCGAGATGGATACTTCGAATATCGCAATAGTGGGTATGACTTTGAGATGGAAAGTCTTTACTGTGTGTACCTGACTACCTACTCCAGTGTGCTTATATCAGTCTCCTCGACCCTCCACATATACCACATAAAGACACTGCGGTACGGCGCAAACGGGCTCGCCATCTCCGCCATCTCCTTTTCGGACATGTACTTCCACTTGCCGCCTTTGGCCTTGAGCTTGGCCACGTCCCGTCCGACAAACGCTGCCATGCCTCTCTGCACGCCCAGGTCGCCCAGTGAGAACACATCCATCCTCTTCAGCCCGAAGCAGGCGAACATCTCGACCGACCACAGGCCCAAGCCTCTGACTGCGATGAGCTTATCCCTGACTTCCTCGTAGGGAGCATCCGCCAACATCTGGGCGCTCAGCTCCCCGCTCGCAAACTTCTCGGCCAATCCTTTGACATACTCAGCCTTCCGTTGCGACAAGCCGGCGGTGCGGAGATGCTCGATCGAGCAGGGGGCTACTTCTGACGGCTGGGGAAACTTCTTGGACTCGGCTTCCTCTGTGAAGAGAGCGACGAATTTGTTCTTGATGGACCTCGCTGCAGCACCCGAGACCTGCTGGGAAATGATGCCGCTGCAGAGGCTCTCGAAGGGGTCAACCTTCTCAGCGAGGCCTTCGGGGCAGAAAACGCGGCAGTAATTCCTCTCGATGAGGGGCTTCATACGTTCATCGACCTCGATGAGATGTCGACACGCTTCCTCGAGTATGTTGGCGGTGGTCGTTCGTTTTGTGCTTCCTCCTGGAATACTTCCCGTCGGTGCCTTGGAAGGCGATGCGGCCTCGGCGGAGCAGGACGCAATAACCCTCGAGGTCTCGGGTGAGATGACGGGGGCGTTGGTGAGTTTCGGGTCGGCCAACCGGCTTACGGCCTTGGGCTTGGGCTTCACGGTGCCGTGGGCGCGCTCGGCGATGAATCCAACGGCGCTCGGCGTGGGTGTGATTGGGGGAGGGATGGGCGTCACCGGGCCGACTTTGGTCCCACGTTTTCTCGGCGGTGTGACGGGATCTGAGGATGGGGCCGGATCGGTATGTGCGGGCTCTGCTGGGGTCTTTCTCTTCCGGCTTTTTGGTGCTGGAGGTGCTGCGATGGAGGGAGGTGAGATTTTGATGTCCGTCTGAGTGCTCAGCCGAGCTGATCGGCGGGACGCCATGGTTTGTGACCTGGCTTCTGGTGACGTCCTAGATGATGACGAGTAATTTGGTAAGCCTCCAGGTGATGTCTGAGTGATTTGAGTAACTGGTGTGCCGTCGTGGGCGAAGACGGAGTCTTCCGAGGCGAATATCAAGTGACGTCCTAGACGAGCAAATCCACGTGCAGCAGAAAGGGAGCTCAAGGGAAGACGGATCAGATGAAGTCTCATTCGGACGCCATTGGCTTTCAAAAAGCTACTTGCGAAATTTTCCGGCCGACGCAGAGTCGAAACTGGTGTGTTGAATGTGTGTTTACGATATGTGTGATAGCAATAAATTGCAGTTGCGTCTGCATTGATGTCGTTGGCATTCACGGCAATAACGAGGCTTGCAGATGAGGCTCCGGCCGCCACTCGGCTGGCGCTTCCAGTGCTTTGTCATCTGAAGTTTGGGGTCAATACATAAGTATATACCAAGTGCTTTGGGAACTTCAAGAGCTTCCCGCTTGGATCGACAAGCGCCTGCCCTTGGGAGAGAGAAGAGGAGCCGCTTACTCAGCTGAGGCCTGATTCTTCGCGGATGAACCAGCTTTGATCTACAATGTATGACAATGTATGCTGGACTGACCATGCGAGAGCATGAACCTCATCCGATAAATTTCGCACCGCAACGCAGCTTCCCCCATTAGCTGTGGGGCCATTCGGAGAGTACGATTGACGAGTACTGTCCAGAAACTGCGTTCTCGTACCGTCACCCCCTCTACACCTCCACCGGGGTTTCATACGTTAGCGCAATACTTACCAGCAGACTTTACCAAAATCGGTAGCAGCCCTGCAAAGTCACGATACTTATACTTATATATAAAATATATAGTAAAATAAGGATCGATACCTTCTTTACTTTATAATAATATTTCACTTATTCTAATTATTATAAAGCTAGCGGGGAAAATAGTGAAATATACGTGAGTAAAAGGTTCGGTGATCGGAAAAAAATATCAGCTTTTAGAATCGGAAGTACTATTTCTGGATTAGCAATAGAAATTAGGCGAAGAAGATAGAATTAGTACTTGCAGTGGAACCTCCCTGTCAATTCACTGCGCTAACGTATGAAACCCCGGTGGAGGTGTACCTTCGTATTCGGCGCATATGAGTTGCAGCGTGTGCTGGTCTCGTTGGTCCACACGTTGGAATCAACCGCACACGCTATATAGACGTGCGTCGGTCAACGAGGACCGATTCACACGAAACTGAATGCGAAGTCGGGTTTTCAGCCCTTACTAAGTTCCTCTAGGTAGCCACAGCCGAGTGACAATCAGTCGCCGTGCTGGTCAACTTGTGGTCGCGAAAGGCCCGTATACATCAAAGTTCGTTCCTTGAACGCAGGATGGAGACCTACCACATTTTGAATGTTGGCATGTTGCTATAATTAAGGGTGACAGATTACCGTCGAATCGATGATTCGATGGTGTAGTGTGCATAATTGGGCCTCTGCCCACGAGAGTTGTGGACAGCATGCAGTTGCACGCGACTAACAGCCTAGCGAGGCGGGAAGTAGGAAAGATCAGCGAGGTATTCGGAGAGCGTCGTCTTTTCTAATTCCACTTGTTTCCCCTGCTGCTCCTGCTGCCTGCCTCATGTTTACGCACCTTGTAAGCCGGATCAGATGTTGACGATTTGTACACACAACGGCGGAATTGTGGGGAAACGGGATCGAGATGATGCCGGATGACGATGATTTTTGCTCCATCTGATTCATGGCCGGCACGCGGGCTGGACTTCCAGGAGACCGGAAGGGCAAAGCATTGTCCCTTCCACTGCCCGTGAGGAGGCCGTCGCGGAGCGGAACAGACGGAAAAAAGGGGGGGGGGGATGAAGTCTCGAGAGTTTGCAGTGCACTGGCGTTGGACAGCGACAGCTGGGAGTATCTCCATTTTTCTGTCTCCCGGGTGTGGCAATCGCGTGCGTTCGCGAGGGGGACAATAGTGGATGTGGCGGGTTGGAGATTGACCACGATCCCTGCCTCGCACTCTTCGTGTCGAGTCTCCATCCATCTCGATTCTCGCCGTCTTCCCGTGCCATGCTTTTTCTAGGACTTTCCCGGGGTGGGGGATTGGCTGGAATGTCCTAGTGTGTTGTTTTGACGAAGATTTGTCTTGGACGGACTCGCCTCTGCCTCTCGCGGACCCTAGTGTACAGTAGTAACGCTGCACGAAGAGCTTGAACTCCTGGGTGCGGGTGATGAAATTGAGCGTGCCATATCCTAGGAGCGTGCGTGCCACGGACGATAATAACGGTTGGACGAATCGAGGTGCAGGTAGCGGTTCTAGCCCAGCCATTCGCCCAGCAAGCAACGGGCAGTCGCTACCTGCGATGGTATGTAGTGCCGTAACATCGGATATTGGGCAAAGCAAGGGTGGAGCTGCGTGCCATCGGCGCCATTTAAGGTATCAGTGGAATAACATCAGGAATTGAACTCGTAGTAGACGGGGGAGAGGGCCATAAACCATCGTCCATTGAGCCTAGGATAGCGTGGCGCCGTTGGACTGACAGACTGACAGATGTCGGGTTAGTTGTCGGGCTTCTGGACTGGCTCGAGGACGTCTAGTTTCTTTGGCTTCGTAGGACGAGCAGGAACGGACGAGCTCTTGACAGCGAGTACTATGTAATAATTAAGCCCAGTTTGCGATTCTCAGCCTCCCATATGCTCCAAAGCGCTGGCGCGAAGATGCTGATGCCTCTACATTGCACGGATACTGTGGTACTGGGGGTGTTCCGTGCTAGGGTGCGGGCGGGCACCCTGGAGGACACTGGGGTAGGCCTGCAAAGTTTTTCTGCTCTCTGTGAGATAACCCTTGGCGGGCGGTTGTGTCATTCAACTGATTCCCGCTGGCTGCTCAGGCTTCCGCTCCTTTATGTTGAAGTCTCAAGTCTAGAGTCGATAGCAGGCCGCAAGCCGCAAGCATCTAGGATTCTGGATTCCTGACAGGTGGATGGTGAAAAGGGGGCGCGTGCTTTTCACGAAGCCACCGTCTGTTGATCCTGGAAAGAGAGCGGGGAGACACGTTGTGGAATTGAAATGCAGTTGTAACTTGTGAGGTCCTCAGAAATGGATTGGAGAGTGGCAGGACAAGGAGAGACAGAGAGAGAAGGGCAAGCCGCAAAGAGCCTTCAGGTTGCGGCACAGTCTCTCCTGAATCCAGAAGCGCTTGGCAGCTCCGGCAATCTCGCGTGCTGAGGGCAGTCGACACAAGAGAGCACTTTGCTAACCTGATTAAACTTTTTGAGGGTTTGCCATTGGCTCATTCTTCGTATCTTAGTGCTGTCGAGCCGCGGGTTGCAGCTGCTTTGCGCCTGTTCCAAGGTCAGCCAAGGACCTACCTCAATGGGCAGGCAGACATTAAGGTACCTTATTATACGGTCATGATGGGCCTTGTCTGCATTTGGTATGCTGTGTAGAGGGGATGAGCGTGGGAGTTCCGAGGCAATACCGCAAGGTACCTCAAGGTAAATTGTGGTCTGTACGGGGTACACTGCAGGTAATCTGAGTGAAGTGCGTGTGCCCACCATCTCCAGCGTACTTGCATGTACCTTGCCTCCTACCAGCCCGCCTGCGCCTGCCTTGCCTCGACGTGCCTTAGCCTATACCATACAAGCCTCCCACACCAGTCGTTTTCCTCCCAGTCGACCCTTTTTTTTCCGGGGCCCTTTCAGCATTGGCGTGGCTCCTCTTTCAGTTCCTTCCTCTTCCTGCTGGGCTTACGGTACCCGAACGTCCCTCGCTCTTGTCTTCTTGCCTTTGACAAAACTTCTGGCCGTAATCCATTTCGCGTTCCCTTCAAGGACTTCAACAAGGTTGAAAGAGCACCAGGACACGTTGCTCACCGGCCTCGAGAGCACGAACCGCACCATACCGCACTCTGCATCCCACAGGAACCGCGGAACCGAGTCGTCCTGCTATCTTCGGACCTTTCAACCCTTATCAATTCAATCGACGACCTTTTGGCTTTCGTCAGCCTTGGCCCACCCCCTTCTGGCGAGGGTGCCGCAACCACCGCTGTCTATCGGACGACACGAAACCGCCCAATCAATTAACCTCCTGCTTCCGATTCCAACTTGCTTGTCGACTCGGACTTACCTTGGGGAGCCTCGTGCTACCTTGTCTTCTGTCTGCGCAACATCACCGACCGTTAGCCGCCCTTAAGCGATACGTGCGGACTCCTAACCTCGCGCGACGACGACGACAATCAACAACGACCCCTAGAGGACGCCCTCACGCCTGAAACTCTGCGACTGTGGACGCTCGCCGTGCTGGGGTACATATCAGTTATTTTCTTCTTTCTGTAAAGACGTGTTTTTCTGGTGGTGTCAAAGACCACCCTTCCATTCTCAGGAGCCATGCTTCTTCCCAAAGGCGGAATCAACTGGAAGTCTGCCCAGTCCAGACTACCTCCCACTAGAGCGGTATGGTCTTTCTTGACCAGAACGCGCTTTCTTCTCCTCGTTGCCCTCACTGGCACCGTTCTGTTATTATGGCGCGGTATTCGCTCGTCAGCTTCGGAGATGCAGAGGTACGTTGTCACCGGCTAAGTGAGCCTCCCTACTCAGGGGGCGCGGTATTTTCGATGCGATGCGCCGCAGAAATAATAGCCTGCTAATATGCGACGCTGTGCAGCTTCTATTGCTGGGGCCCCGCGAAACCACCCATGGAGATGTCGCTGAATGAGCAAGCTTCTTGGGCCGGCCACCTTCAGACCCCCGTCATCTTCAACCACCACGAGCCTCTGGAGATTAACCATACCTCCATCATCCACGTCGACCTCAACCCCATCAAGTCGACGCGCAAGGCCGTCATCAACGAGGAGCGCGTCCTGATCCTCACGCCTCTCAAGGACGCCGCTCCTTACCTGTCAAAGTACTTTGAGCTGATCGCCGAGCTGACGTACCCTCACCACCTAATCGACCTGGCCTTCCTAGTCGGCGACTCCAAGGACGATACGCTCGCCGTTCTCGCCTCCGAGCTGGACCGCATCCAGCGCCGCCCTGACAAGATTCCCTTCAACAGCGCCATGGTCGTCGAGAAGGACTTCGGTTTCGAGCTCAGCCAGAGCGTTGAGGAGCGCCACTCGTTCAAAGCTCAAGGTCCCCGACGAAAGGCAATGGGCAAGGCTCGCAACTACCTCCTTTCTGCTGCCATGAAGCCCGAACACTCCTGGGTCTACTGGCGTGATGTTGACATCGTTGACAGCCCCAAGAAGATTCTTGAGGATTTTATTGCCCACGACACTGACATTCTCGTGCCGAGTAAGTACACATTTGGCATGGCCATATCATGGAAGATGTTAATGGTCTGGCAGACATTTGGTTCCACCGCTACCGTGATGGCCGTGATATTGAGGGTCGCTTCGACTACAACTCCTGGGTTGAGTCCGACAAGGGCCGCAGACTATCAGCTAGCTTGGACAAGGACGTCGTCCTCGCTGAAGGCAAGGGACATCGTTCCATATATCCAAAAAGAAATGCATGCTAACAAGCAAACAGGCTACAAGGAGTACGATACTGGACGCCGGTACATGGCCAAGGAAGGCGATTGGCGCAACAATAAGGATGATGAGCTCGACCTCGATGGCATTGGCGGTGTCAACATTCTCGTCAAAGGCGATGTCCACAGATCAGGTTAATTTTCTTCGCGCGTCGAACGCCAAGCTTTTGCTGACTTTGGCAGGAATCAACTTCCCGTGTTACGCCTTCGAGAACCAGGCCGAAACGGAGGGCTTCGCCAAGATGGCCAAGCGCGCCGGTTACCGTGTTGTCGGATTGCCCAACTACGTCGTATGGCATATTGACACCGAGGAGAAGCCAGGAAACGCATGATCTCATTGAGACTGCGTTTTTAGCCTAATTCCTTTCGATTGTACGACAACAGTCTCCGACTTGTCCGCGGAATGCGGCTGACGGAGAACAGCACTGTATGACCACGTAACGATACACACACATGGTACCTGAGAGCGTTTCACGAGGAGAGTCGTTTCCGGATACTGGTCACAGGGCTCCTTGGCCCACGAATAATGGGTGCGAGGCTGGAGTGTTGGTAATTGCCTCAGCTGCTCTGGTACCCACGAGTTCGACTTTGCGCCATACATATATATATATATATATATCCAACGAAAACTGATCCTTTCTTCGTTGGCTCGATGTCGATTGCTTGAAGGAGCTGGCCATGGAACGCAAAACGAACGAAAGAAGAGGAGTGCTGTTTTGGCGACTCATACCACCTGAAAGGATGTCTCGCTGTAATAATAGACTTGGTTATATCAACTGTTAGCATAGGAAGGGGAAAGGTAACGCCCAGCATGCGAAGGGGAGTCCCTTATCCGGCCTCAGACTTTGGGATGTGGAGACGAAGGCAGCACTTCATGGAGAGAAGACTTGCTTAGTGAAGTTTTCTCTCGATGTATGAGTGTGATATCTAGGGTATGAGGAAACTCGGGAGTTCAAAGAGGCGTAATTTATACATTTTGATTTGTCCCGATATACCAATCCAATTATTTGTCCTATCGTAAGATGTGTTGACCGAATTGTTCTGTACTCTAGAGGCAGCTGGGCACGATCATAACGCCGTTGCGCGCAAATTCTTTGCCATTAACAATTTTGTTCAACATGAGAACTGCTGGTTGATATAGCCTCGAACCTTGGCGTTTGGTGAAATGATGCTTAATCCAGCTAAGAGCATACCTAGTACTTGATCTCCTTTACACTTTCGGATCGGTAGCAATATCAGCGAGCGGTAGCGTGAGTTGGAATAAGCTCAGCCACTCGTCGAGTGAAGGCGCCAACTGACGCGGAAGTAAGCAGTGTTGTGGAACCCTCGCTCCTGTTTTGACTCCTTTCTCCTGGTCTTATCAAGCAAAAGTGGTTTGATGTATGGGTAGATGAATGTTTTCATATTGTTGTGGTGTTTTCCCACCAGTACCCGGCGCTGTCAGTCTTACTCAACGATGTCACAACGAATCCGAATAGTCTGCAATTGAATGTTCTACAACGGAGTCTCTATTAAGATATTGCATTTCCATAATGGAAGGAACATTAGTGTGTTTCAGAGGTGCTATAGCAAAGGCTTGGCATACTTGTTAATTATTCAGACAGCTACATGCTGTGAATCTGGTGTGTGAAACTACGTTCTTTTGCCCAGAAAAAGTTTATAAGCTGGCTCGTAGGCCAGAGGCATAGGTCGTCTTCTGCTGATGCATGGGTGCGTTTGAATGGAGTGCCTTTGTTGATACTCTACGGTGGAAGAAAGATCTACTTGAAAATTGAGTTCCAGCTTCTGATGCAGCTACTCAAAGATGGCACGCTACTAGATGTCTTGGAGCCAAGACTGAGTGTAAGTGAGGAGGTAGCGATCTTTCGGGTTGCCGGGGGCATGCACTGCAAGTTGCAGGCGTTCAAGGTCCTGTCTTTTGATTCTGCCTTCTGTCCCTTTGTATCTGGAGATGTATTACATTACATACACAGCATTTTCCTGATTGATACGATAGCATTTAAGCTTCAAGTAAGCCAGAAGAATCTACTGTAATCTTCCACTTATCAAACCCTAGTCATAAGTGAGAGGAGTCGCGTGCCATACGCCTCTAGAGACGCTTCCTCGGCGCAGAAACCGGCGTGCTAGAGACCATGGCTGGCGAGGTGTAAGAGATGATGATACTTGAACATTAACATAGTTGGAGGTTGCCTGTAGAATTTCTTGAAACAACCCCAAAACGATATCGACTATGTAACGAGTGCGGTAAAACTACATACAATGGTTATGTTGCCAGGATTAAGCGTCGTTCTACTATCAATAATCCTTCATCGGCACAGGCTGAAATCCGGTAGCCCCTGGGCGAATTCACAAAAAATACGACTAAATTCCCACATCCTGCGCCATCAATGGTCACCAGGGCTGAGTTACTATGGTTTCATATACCTTAGACGCCGGGTCTTCAAGTCAATAATGCCCTGCATTGACCTGACAAATCCAGAAGTTTTCAAAGGATGGAGTTGTTCGATATCAACTTTGCCATTGCTTCAATAACACTTGCTATTCAACAAAACGGCATTGTAAGTAAACCATGGTTTGCCTACTCAAAGTGCACGTCAGGAGGTCGAGGTTTAGACCACCTGAACATAAGTATATAAGCACCGTCGCTTTTTGCACTGACCCAGCTCTTCATACATTGAGACTGGCAGCGCAAGTAGTTAATTCTCATCTCATTGATTGGTGTCCTCGTAATCGTTTCTAGGAGTGCTGGGTGCCACTGGAACCGCCCGAATGCGTTTGAAAAATGCTGACGACGGCCTTGCCTATTCGGTATTTGAACCACTCAGAGGTCATCAGATATACTACTAATTGAACCATGCAAATGCGATGGGCCGATGAAGCGGTTACGATGAATAACACTGTCGACTATAACCCCGACTTGCACTTGGTTCGGGCAGGGCGCAAATCGTGAAGTTGGGGGTTATGGCGACTCCGGGATAGAGGAATTCGAGGTGAATCGGCAGCGTCTAGGTCGACGAAGACCAGTCGTTACTCATGATGTTGAGAGAGCTGAGTGGGTCAGTGGATTCTAACCAGTGAGAGGGCGTACAATGTCAGCTAGCTTCCGCGAGCCCGGACCGGGGGGCAAAGGGCCGCAAGAGCATTGATATCCAAGGCAACCCAAAAAAAAAGTGTCATCAATTGGTGCTATTCGGGCGCAGCAAAACCTGTAACTGTAGCAGGGAGTTCCAATTGACGAGAAAGCAACCCCCCCAAAGGTCTATACATAAGGTACACGAACCGCCTGGCCTTGGTTCTACCCCCTGGTCTAAATTTCTGTCGCGCGCCCGGCCAGGCGGTCCCCTTCGTCACTAATACTTTACAGCATCGTGCGCGCGGCTCCGCTCCTTTCCTCCAAACATATCCCCCACCAGGAAGAGTAGTTTAGTGGTGCTTCTTCTGGACCTCCAAGGTCTCAAAGGCCAGCCTCTCAGCCTCCTCAGCCTGGATCTGCTGGATGATAGGTCCGAGGTAGGGGTAGTCCTGTATAAAGGAGAGGGTTAGTTCTCTGCCACAGTCTTCAGTTTCAAACGTTCGGGATGCGCACCTCCTCAGGCTTGGTCCACTCGTTCTTGGGCAGGAGCTTGTGCTGGTAGGAGAGCTGAACGGCGCGGCGGATGCGGTAGACGCGGTCGTAGGACTCCTTGGGCGAGAGGCGCTTGAGGGCCTTCTGGACGATATCGGTCTCCTCCTCAATGAGGTCGTCGAATCTGCAGACGGAGAGAATTGTAAATCAGTTTTTGTCGTTTCCGGGCCGGTAGCCATATCGTCGGGGGAGGGTTGTTGTCGAGTTGCTTACCTCAAGCCGAGCTTGCGGTGGCCGGCAGCGTTGGCGTACCAATTGGAGAAGGGGACGAAGATGCTCTTCAGGAAGGGACGGGCGAGGATGCCGTCGGCGAGCTGCTTAGAAATGAGCGAAGTCATTGTGGCGGGTGGTGGTGCGTGGTGGGCGCGGAGAGGAGAGGTTTCGATATATTGCCGCGGAGTACGGTTTTGCGGATCGCCTGAGGTTGGGACTCTATAGGAAATTCGTGGAGCATCCCGGAGAGGCGCAACGATTCGGGACGGTAGGTCATGTGATCATCCTTGAGATTCCGGTAGGCGCCACAGAGAAGAGAGACGTCATGTGGCGCAGATAGTTATGTGGCTGGGGAGGTGACCCGAAAGCACGGGCCTCTGGGAGGCTCAATGCAGTTTTCGTGATTGGATCTGGGGGGCCTGATGAGGTAATTAGAGCTACCAACGGGACGCCCGCCCACGATAGCACCGCAGACCCTGCTGCGGATGATTGGAAATTGTACTTTTGTGGTACTGGTCAAAGCCGCAGGGAACCGGCGGAGGTGGAGCTCAATTCTGTGGCCTAGATGCTTGAACTTTTTATTCTTGGCTTTTTGGAGTTGCGATTCAGAGACTTTGGACGTCGTCTGGGATGTCTCTGGACACGAGGCGTTTCTTGCCTTTTCGGTCTCAGCTTTTCTCACAAATACATACATACATAATCGTTTGATGCAAGACTTTGTTTCCTTCACAGATATCTCCCCGGCTTACATGGCCACCAGCCGTTAATTTGAGACAATCGGCACTGCGTCATCTTCCGTTGCTGATCGTTCAGGGCTGTAAACAAGAATTGTGAATATCGGCAGCTCCCGGGGTTTGAACCAACAGCCGAGGAGAGTACTTCCCTCGGCGGTATTGCTCCCTGCACAGCAGTAAAGAGCAGTGGGCGCGTCATCGCGCAGGTCCCTTCCTTCAGCACCCTCTCACCTGTGGGCTTGCTCCGGCACATCTCACCAAGCGCTCTCTCTGCGCCATCCTGCCTCCTAGCCCACTAGGCAGATTGCGCCTGCCTCCACCTGAAGGGTACCCTGAACGGGGGACCTCCTGCCAAAAGAGACAGCCGACAGCTCGCATCATTTTGCTCTCGTGCTCCATCCCGCTCCAGCTCGGCGCTTTTTCGCAATATCCAATCTCCAACTCCCCCGACTACGCTCCTACCGTACCGACCACCACCACATCTCGTCCTGGTCCCCTTCTCCGCCGTCCGCCTCTCCTCTCTCACACCCCTCACTTCCCGATCCCGTGTGCTTGGGAACGACTTCCTTGCCAGAACTGTTCTCGATTCTGTGCCCTAGTAGACAACTTGTTCCCCGCAAGGCCAATGGGCTGCGATAACAGTTAGTCGTTCAGTGTCACGGCGGCGTGGGAGCGTTCCCCGCATACCGGGACACTTGGGAAGGCCCAGCATCTATCCATCTACCTGAGTGAGAGGTACACGACAGACACAAACGGAGAGACACACAGAGAGAAAGGACGCAGACCACCAAAAACGCAGCACGATTTCCGAGTCAACCACGACAAACGCACCGAGAGAACCGGTCCTGATAAACCCGTAACTAGCTTCGCAGGCACTTCTGCGAGAGCCAGCACACAACGCGGGCTATCGCCGCCTTTTTCCTTGCTGATACGGTACCAAACCTGGGCCTCAACTCCGCATTTCTGAACCTCGACCAATTTCAGCAGTGAGAGGGGATGTCTCACGACGAACACCACGACGCTGAACGAGGCGCACCGCACCCCCACGACGAAGAATATGGGCCTTACCCGACCTCGACCTATCCCAATTACAGTAGCTCGAGAGCTTACCCGGCTGCGGCTCCTGCCCGCGCGGCGATAGCTACCATTGAACAGGCCGTTTCTGCCATGCCCGCGAGCGAGACGATCACTGCCTTCGAGCGGTGGGCAGCCGGCGCCTCCGACGCCCAGTTCAACGCTCTGTCCGGTGCCGTGGGAGGTTTTACTTCGGGCGTTGTTACGTGCCCGCTCGACGTTATCAAGACCAAACTGCAAGCACAGGGCGGCTTCAATCCGGTTGAGAAAGGCAGACATGTTGGGCATGGTCCCAAGCTCTATAATGGCCTGCTTGGAACCGCCCGCGTGATTTGGAAGGATGAGGGCATTCGCGGCATGTATAGGGGACTCGGCCCGATAGTACTGGGTTATTTGCCCACATGGGCTGTGTGGTTTACCGTCTACAATCAGAGCAAGGACTGGTTGAAGCACCGTCATGGTATGTGGAAGCCTCTATCCGAGGAGCGCCGTTGTTGCCTCGGCAGTACCGTTTGCTGATCCGGAAGACAGAAAACACGGTGTTGATCAACTTTTGGTCATCCATCGTCGCTGGTGCCAGTAGCACTGTCGTCACGAATCCGATTTGGGTCATCAAGACTCGCTTGATGTCGCAGAGTGTTGCCCATGACCCGGGTAAGTATCAATCGCAGTTTCCGAGATCGGGCAACACCCCAACTTCGAGACCGACGATGCACAGTTCATGGCACTACCGGTCAACAATCGATGCGGCACGCAAAATGTATACATCCGAGGGCGTCCTATCCTTCTATTCCGGCCTCACCCCCGCCTTACTAGGACTTACGCACGTGGCAGTGCAGTTTCCAGCATACGAGTACCTGAAAACGAGGTTCACCGGCCAGGGTATGGGAGAACCGACCCAGGGCGACTCGCAAGAATCACAATGGATGGGGGTGCTTGAGGCTTCGATATTATCGAAGATCATGGCGAGCAGTGCCACATACCCTCACGAAGTTATCCGCACGAGACTGCAGACACAAAGAAAGCCCGTAGGAGGAGCTGAGTACTTACAGGGCCTGGGAATCAAGGTCTCCTCGTCGGAGGACGGCAAGAAGCAGCAACCATTATCACCAAAGTATCGCGGCGTGGTCAGCACCTTCCGGACAATCCTCAAAGAGGAGGGCTGGAGGGCCTTTTACGCTGGCATGGGCACTAACATGATGCGAGCGGTGCCGGCCGCGACAGTGACGATGCTGACTTACGAGTTCGCGATGAAGCATTTGAATCATGCGAGGGTTGAGGGCAAGAGAAAATTGGGAAGGGGAACACCCGCTGAACCATGATCTGGTAGGGCAGAAACCAGAGAGCGGTCTTATTTGAACAAGACAATGGAGAGAGAACTTGGCAAAGACAATGTGTGCGGTTTAGCAGTAACATGCGAAGAGAGAGACGTTGAGAGTAGGAAACGGGGATGGGATTTTCCAGATACCCTTAACTTTGGTCGTCAGGTATAGACAAACTCGATTCAGGTCACGGAACCAGCAATAGTCCCCTTTATGGGTACGGCTCTTTTGACATATCCCTCCCCCAATTGCATTGCACCCGAACCATAGCTTTTCTGTTTTCACACACGATTTCGAGCACTTAGTTCATAGCTGCGAAACGGAAGCGTGGCATTCATAGCTCTGCTATTCCCAACGGGGCGGCTCACTTGTGTGTAGTATTACATTTGTTGGCGTGGAGTATATACAGGGAGTTTTCTCAACACTAACAATCTATGGCTTTTTTGGTATCTAGCAGTTGCAGAGACAGAACTATGGGGGAGGGTATAACTACATGGAAACCGTGAAACTCTCCGAGAGAAAAAAGACAATAAACATAAACCCGCAAAACTTTCCGCTTGTCTCACCTTCCATGAATCCCAACTCCCGGACTGTAAGTCATGGAGAGGAGTCTCGTGATCCTACAGCACACTTGGTTTCCCCGTTTGTCTGCCCGATGTTTCGTTCCGCTGCAGTTTGACGCAGCACTACAAGGTGTTGGAATTTCAAGACGGACTGCCGTTGCTCGGGCCATGGCTTGGGCCGTGGGAATGTCTCTACGCAACGTCAGTTTCTTGGGCTCGAAGCTTCGTTGCTGTGGAGCTTTATCCAGGGGAGATGGGCAGACGTACGGCCTGATCACGCGCTGAGCGGATCGAGGAGCGGGTATATCTGGTTCGATATTAGCATCGGATTTTGTTCCAGAGTCATACTCAGGCGAGAGTGTCTTAGTTGATAGCGAGAAATGTGAGACTCACGCGAAGAGGATACAGGCCATGGTGAACGCGGCCAAAGGGGCCGTAATCGTCTGTGGGAAGGGGGTGAAGTCAGTCAGGAGGTTTCCTCACTTATGGGTACGACTGGGGACGGGTCTTGATTTTTTTCCCCCAACCCTTACCTTTGGTGTAAGGTTTCCCTTCTTCATCTTGTGTGCATCCCCTTCTGCGGACGGGCTGGTGTTTTGAGACGCGGTTTGAGATTGTGAGGGTGAAAGGGTGTAAGTGAGTGAGTGGGATCATGGATGAGATGGTGATGGGCTGATTATGGTTAGAGGATGGAGCCTGGTGGGGGGATATGCACGTATCGGGCACGAGGGAGCGATACAAGCATCTGGTGTTGACCATGCACGGGAGGGACTGTTGAAGGATCAGGTGCATTGCGTTCAAGATTAAGTTGTGCGATTATAGGAGTGCAAAACAAATTATGGAATGATTATATTTTCAGCAATCGAGTTTCCTCCGTGTGAGCTTCAAAGTTGTTTAGACTACCTAGCCAATGTTTGATGTTGAGTCTTGTGAGTTGTGACTTACACCAGAACACCCGCTGTGCCCTCACTACCTGTCCTAACTTAAGGTATGCCAAGAAAGGTCTCGAGACAGCGCGCAATGAGGCAGACGTTCATCAAGCCACTGAATGCACTTTCCATTTAATGGAGCCTTGGAGAAACAAATACTCTCAACGACTCAGTGTGATGGTGCAAGGAAAACATGACGTGCAAACCCAACAGCCTCCATTTCAGCAAGCGATGGAATTAAGTGGATTAAAACGAGAAATAGGCGCTAGGAATTTGGAGTTCCCTAACACCTATTAGCTGGTGCGTCTGCCCCCAAAAACAAAATCAACATAATTACACCGTGACACCTGCGGAGGTCGCCCAAATCGCGCAACACCACGGATTTTCCAACTGTACAAAAAGAGTGAACTCACGAGCGCTTCATGTGACAAGAGTGGGATTCGAACCCACGCCAATTACTTGACTAGCACCTGAAGCTAGCGCCTTAGACCGCTCGGCCATCTTGCCATCGTATATTTGGTGGAAAATGTGCTCTGGGTGGGGTTTATATTAGATTTGGTGCGGGTCGTCATGGACGGGTCGAGTTGAATGGAGGCGAAACACTTTGTTGTGCAGTGGGCATGTCTGTTCTGTTGCTTGAGGCCAATGGTACGTTTGGGTTGACATCCTGGAAAGACACAATAGTTTCAATCGCGTCTTTGGCCGCAACATGAGGAACAATGTCAATCGTTGCCTCTAGCTCCACATTGTCGGATAGATGGAATACACGCGAAGGTCGGGTTTCCTTTGTGGCGATGCCCTCTGCTGGGAGCCAAGGAGGTTTGGGACAGCTTCCTCCTTGATGTCGAACCATTGTCGAATATACCGTATCGAGGGCAGCTGAGCTCGAGCTCGAAGTTTCGTCCCACACATCAAGCTCGTTGATGACTCTCTTGCCCGGCTCATCTAGGTCGTAGCTGAGCAAGGTCGCCCAAGCCTCTTGTGGCTTGTCAATGTCTAGAACAACTAAAAGAGTGATGAGGACGAATCTTGCGCCCGGGTGCGCTCTACTCCTTGGATGCAGGGAGAAGCAGACAAAACGGACTGAAAAGTTGAGCCTGGAAAATGACTTATCCTGGAATCTGGTAAGGAACACACGATGGAGCCCATCCCACAGTATTTCAGGTTCTGCCTTCAAAGTCTTACCCAAAGCCCAGCTGAGCTGATTGGGCTGCACGTGAATTCGAATGAACAAAGCTTCCTCAAAAATATCCTGTTGAAGTCTGCAAGCCGCCTCATAAGTTAAATGACGCACGAGTTTTAATGGATTGGCCTTTTCATCGTATGCTTGCGTTACGATCCTCTTCGTCTTCGTGACTTGAGTAGTGTGAGTGCCTCTCATACCAAATTCCTGAGTGACGTAAGTCCAAGACTTATGGCGTACGAAGCCAGAGGGTGTTTTGACGACTATGATGCTGATTGGGGTTTCGTTGAATGCATCTCTTTTTCGGAAGCTGTGGCGTAGTGACGGGACAAAATGCTTCTCTTTCGAAGGGCCTGATCAATCATCTTCGTAGTCTTGTCTTCCAAGCGCGGCTGTGATCGACAGCGTAGTTCTTGTTACGACAATTTCGATGTCTTTGGTCGCCCGTGATTCCTTGACCACGGTCATATTCGAGCACGCAACAAAGTCCAATGGCGAGTTTGCAAGAAAACCACTGTATTCTTGTCGCCTCTCTTGGTCTCTGGCGTCCGAGGTCCATGCGATTAGGGATAGGTCTTGAGTTTCTTGCAGAATCTCAGACTGCAGCCGTGCAAAGGCTTTCCCACCTTCGCCGTATAATAAGGGCATGCTGATATCGAAAATCCCTAGCAGACAGTAGGCAGAGTCTTCGGTCCGAGTAGTCTGGCGTTTGGAGGCCCACGACATGCGGGTTGCGACAGGGACTTTGAGGAGGGGAGCCTTGCCAGTAAGGATGGCTTCGTCTATACCGGCGATGTCTGATAAGAAGCGGGACAAAGTCTCTTTGGAACCGAGCAGCTGCCAGGACGCATTATAGAAAGTGATCGCCTTTGGCGCAATCAGCTCTTGGAGAGTCCAACCCCGTGTGAACCACCGAGAAACCCTCAAGTTTCCGACAAATGTGGCCGAGCTAGCCACATCTTCCATATCGGAAAGGTAGGCGAAACAGACCCATGAACGGTTGTACCAGCGGAACATGGAATTGATTGCCTCGGATAGTTCAGCGCTGGATGTTTTGTCGATGCAGCAAGTGTCGATCCATGCGTAGTCTAGGTCGAGGGATTTGGCAATTCGGCACGTATGGTATATTTTGAAATGCCCGGGTTTTCTCCAGACGTTCTCGTCGTTTTGAGTCCTGAGTTCCTGGAAAGACACTTCTTCGCGGCCCCAGGTATGAGAGAGAATTGCGTATGGGAAGTCCGGCTCGATGAACTCCTCTAGCTTGAGCGTGTTGACATTGATAAGCCACATTACTTAGCGATACTTGGGAACAAGCGGATGTGGTTTGACAGGGAAAGCAAATGCAGGCGAATGGAGTCTTGGGGGAACGAAGTAGGGAAGCTGGTTTGCTTTGCAAAAAAAGAGGAAACGAGCGGGATCGCTGGTGAAGGTTTTTTAGCAGGGTGAATTGCAGACTCCATTGTAATAGATGGTTGCCTCACTTGAGGCGTAATTGAGAAGGAAGGGATAGTCAACGAATGAGAACGATAGGCAGGTGGGTAGGTAGGTAGTCAGGCAGCAGCTGGAAAGGTGTCGGCATCTGAGGAGGTGCATATGCAAACACTCAAAGCTACAAGGCGCCCGCGCAAGGATCTGGTCTCGCCTAGCTATGCCATCTTGAAGAGTCGAAGCTGGACCTGTATCTGCTTGAGAGCGATGATGGCATTCTAAAAATTGGCTGCCAACGGAGCAAAGCAACTTTCCAACGATGGAAACAAAATGGCGGACGTAAAGCACGGTGCAGAGACAAAACTGTCAATGCCGGCTGGTTGCTTGGCGGGTGAGACAGCATACCTAATCTCACAGCGGCCTTTAGGCCCAGCCATCTGGTGTTCCCCCACATAAGCCCGACGGGCACCAGAACGTGCGCTCCCTCAGAGCCTAGAGGCTAAGACCAGGTCGGGGTCGAGGAACGCACGGGCAATGGCTGAAAAGCTTACTGGGCAATGGACCGGGGTGTGAAGAGGGAGGACACAGAGAGAAACGGCAGACGAGAGGTTGAGAGGTCGGCGGCAGGGAAACAGCCGAGAGAGCACGAAAGCACGAACTGATGGACCTGCACCTGCCGCTGACCCTGCCGCTATCGTTCGGGGGGAACCCAGACACGCAGATTCCGAGCCAGCGCCCAGCAAAGGCAGAGCAACCACACAACGTTGACACGGCACCAACCCCCGTCCGCCGATGCCCACCAGAAACAGCAACGGCTAATACTGCTGCTCGCGGCGACCCGAGCTTAATAATTAGTCTGAGCCAGGAAGAGAGAGGAGAGCAGCAAGGAGGGAGACGAGGGCGAGAGAGAGCGCGAGAGACACAGACTGGGGGCGCCCGCGCCCGCACCCGCAACGCACCGCACCGCAAAATGCAGCAACACCGCAGGACATCTGCATCGCATCAGCACCCTGGTCCCGGCTGAAGCTCTGGCCATCGTCGCCTGTGATTGGCTCATCTCGAGGACGTCCTCTTCGACCTCCTGTTTACCTCTCAACTTCCCTCGATTCCCGTAACCCCCTCTCATCTCTTGCAATTTCGCCATATTTTCCCATCGCATCTGAATCGCATCGCCAGCGCATCGCCGCTATTCAAGTCGCACATCCTTTGCGATCTCCCTATTGCATACTTGTACCCACACACAGTATCCATCCCCGTAGACGCCATGCCTGTCGAGCTTCGCAAGCGCAAAGCCCCCGAGCCTGCTCCGGCTCCGGCGCCCAAGAAGGCCTCATCCAAGGTCACCAAGGCAGCCGAGAAGGTCAAGGGCGCCGTCAAGGGCAAGGCCGAGAAGCCCGCCCAGAAGCCCGTTGAAAAGGTTGCCGAGAAGCCCGTCGAGAAGCCAGCCGCTGCCAATGGCTCTGGCAAGAAGGTCAAGGCGGTTAAGGGTGAGACAATCGACCTCGACGGCTTCGGCGGCGAGATCGAGACCAACGATGGCGAGAAGACGACCCTGAAGGATCTCGTCGACAAGAGCAAGGCCGGTGTCGTCCTATTCACCTACCCCAAAGCCTCGACTCCCGGATGTGAGTATTTCTGCAGCGATATTTGCCTGGCAATTCCTTCAGTCTGACCAATCATGCTAACGAGCTTCTGATATCCAGGCACCAAGCAAGCCTGCCTGTTCAGAGACTCGTACGAGCCGCTCACCAAGACGGGTTTCGCCATCTATGGCCTATCCATGGACTCGCCCAAGTCCAATACTACCTTCAAGGAGAAGCAGAAGCTGCCTTACCCGCTGCTCTGCGACCCAAAGGCCACCCTGATTGGTGCTATTGGCCTGAAGAAGCCGCCCAAGAGCACCCAGCGCGGCGTTTTCGTCGTCGACAAGGCCGGCAAGGTTCTCATCGCCGAGCCCGGCAGCCCCTCGGGCACCGTCGATGTCGTGACGGCGCTGATCGAGAGCGGCGATGACGAGGCTACCGAAGAGGCCGCGACCGAGGCCCCTGCCGCCGATGCCAAGGAGGAAGAGCCGGCCAACGGAGAGGCTAAGGCTGACGAGGAGAAGAAGGAGGATGTCGCCGATGAGGCCGAGAAGAAGGATGAGAAGAAGGACGAGTAATCATAGTGCTGCAGTGTAAGTATATTTCGCGATGGAAAATGCGTTTGCAATTGAAGGGCCTGGATAAGGCGAGGCAGGATTTTCTTGTATCCGTATAGTATCTGGGAATTGATTGATTGGCGTTGGGCGTGTGCTTTGCCTTTTTTCGTGCCTCAGCGGCACGTTCGAGATGAAGAGCTCTGCGGTGCATTGCGTGCCTATCTTGAACCCATGGCCGAGGCGTGAACCCCCGGAAATTCCAGCAATGTAGCTTTGCAAGGGGAAATGGTGAAGTGGATACCTGGTCCAAGAGCTGGGTTGCAAATTCAAGCACGGCTATTGCTTCGACCGGCAAAACCTCGGCCCTCCGGTCCTTGCCAGAAACTGGAGCACTCCACGACGAAGCCCAGGCGCCGGAACGCTCACATCCAACCTCAAGCTGGTCATCGAACCGTTGCCAATCGAAATCCCAAATCTCCCCTCCACCGTCTACGACGTCGCCAAAGATGGCCTCCAAGGCAATTGCGAAGGCTGCGGCAGGCGGCCTCGTGGAGATCTCCCAGGTACGGCCGCAATTGACGCTCCCACCCTATAGCTTCAAGCGAAAGCAGGGAAAACCACCATTCCAAACCACCACCAACCCTCCGACGACCATGGACCGCTTGCTGAATTGGCACTGTAGCTAACTTTGACTCTTTCCTCCTCATATAGAAGCACACCCTCCAGTCCACAGGCATCTGGGAGCGCATCCGCCGCACCCTCGCCATCGACCCCAACCGCTCCTCCGGCGTGCCCTTGAACCCGACCTTCCGCAACCCGACACCGGGCGCCAACGACCCCCTCGCCTACGATGACCCCGTAACCGTCCCCGCGGGTGACATCGCCGACAACCCGTACTGGAAGCGCGACGCCCGCCGCAACTACCCAGCCATCAGCGTCGTCAACCAGGCCGACGTCGTCGGCCTCCTAGCCGTCGGCTCCGCCGCGAATCCGCGCGTCGAGCTCATTGGCGAGGCGGGCGAGAAGCAGCTCGTCGCGGCCCGGGAGGAGGCCGCCGCCACGGGCATTGCCCCCTACCTCGAGAAGAACGCCGCCAAGGCCGTCGAGGCGAGCAAGGAGGCGCTCTTCACCAACGGCTTGCCGCCGACGCCTAGCGGTGAGAACCTGAAGAGCGGCAAGTGGGATGTGCACAAGTACAAGGTCAACGAGGACCAGTCCTACGGCGAAGGGTGAGTTTTCAAAGTCTATGGCGTTTGGTTTCAACCCCCTTGATTAGGGGTGGTTTGTGACAATGAGAGTTTTCTGACGTGTCGAGTAATAGCTACCCTTGCCGGACTTTTGCGTGAGCATAGGAAATGCGGGTTTGCTGTACAGGGAGGGGGACAATTGTAAATATGAAGGGCACTAGATTCCATTGAACGTTTTTCCATTTCTTCACGTTTTTGAAAAAACTGACCTTCAGAGGTCCTCTGTTCGGGTATGTGAGCCCCGTTCCCATGATCTAGCTGTTGCAAAACCAACAACCATCGATCAAAATCGCCCATGCTTTTACTCGCAAAGAAAACCCCCCAAACAGTGAATCAAGTCTCCTTCACCTCTGGAGCCTTGTGCTCAGCAGTCTCCGGGGTAAGAGCGACTTCGCCCGTCACCCGCTCAATGAGCTTGACTTTTCCCTGCGCCCTTTTCAGCCTGTCGTCAAAGTCATTGACGGCCTCATCGCTGTTTTCCTTGGAGAGCGTGTCCGGCTCGACCAGCGCGAAAGCCGTCGTGACATTCTTTTCTAGCCTGGCGTTGGGCGCCAGCGGCGGTAGGGAGCAGGTCTTTTGTTGTGGTGATTCTGGCTCTGATGACGGGTGAGGTTGTTGGGCCGAGCCCGAGGCCGAGGCCGAAGAACCGGGGGGCTTTGCAGCGGTGCTCTTCTCGGGGAGGGATAGTCTGTTTGCCCATACCACTGCGCGGGCGTGTATCCTGCCGCTCTCGTAGAACTTTTCGTAGCCCTTGGCGAGGCCGACGGAGCGGCCCTCGATCTTGCCCGCCTGGATGCCGTCTTCGGTCCCTTGGCGGAAGCCTTCTGAGAAGAACTGGTCCTCTAGTGTGAGGACGTCGTCGAACGGGTCCAGAGACATGGTTTGGGGATAAATCTAACGAGACGAGACCGAATCGGACTTGGGTTCCTTGGATCTTTTCGGTGAGGGTTGCTTCCAGGTGTAAGTCGTGTTGAGTCTTGGTAGGTGAAGTTGATAATTGATGGAGGGGTCTTTTGAAATGGTGGCGGGGCAAAATTGTGAGTTTGACTCAGCGGCTTTTTTGCTGGCTTTCGCTAGTGGTTTACACGCATCTTTTTCCAAACTTCAGCTTCTATATGAACAAACGAGAACAAACCAGCGACATGAATATAATCATTGGTCAAAATGCTTGGCCTTATATAACAGGGCTGTTACTTGAGAATGCAGTTGTGAAAGATATTCTAATACAACGGAACATGGGGAATCAAATTCTAAGTCTACCTCATTAATGACGGACCAAAAAAACTAAACATTTGGCGCCATCATTTAACATGGTGAGTCGTATCAATAAACTGTTTTCTACTGCATGCCGAAAAACATGCCGCCGTTAGCACATACAACTTGTCCCGTGCACCACGCAGAGTCCGCGGAGACGAGCATGCCCACAATACCAGCAATCTCCCCAACGTACGCCGGCCTTCCACCCTCCTCTTCGGCAGCCTTGACGAGCTCGTCCGAGTCGATGCCCTGTCGGGCCCTCATCAGCGGCGCGTGCTCGATGAAGCCCTTGATGAAGCGCTTGAACTCGGGCGTGTTGCCCGCGTACATCTCGGTCAGCACGGGACCGGGGTTGATCGCGTTGACGGTGGCGTTCTCGCTGAGCTCGCGGGCCCAGGTGCGCGTCATGGCCTCGAGCGCGGCCTTTGTGCCGCCGTAGACGCTCTGCTCGGGGAAGCCGGCTGATGAGCTCACAGAGGACATGTTGACGATGCGGCCGCTCCTGTCGGTGGGGAGGTAGGGGTGGACGGCCTGGGTGAGGAGGAGGGGCCCGAGGACGTTGACGCGGTAGGAGACGTCGAACTGGTCGATCGTCACGGCGGGGAGAAGATTGTTCTGGGCGACGCCGGCGTTGTTGATGAGGATGTCGATCTGGAACTTGTTGCCGTTGTTGAGCTTTTCAAAGTGGGACTTTGCGGTTGTGACGAGGGACTTGGGCCCGTCGGGCGTGCCCATATCGGCCTGGACTGCGAGCGTCTGGATGTTGTGCTTGTTCCCGAGTTCCGTGGCGAGCTGTTCGGCCGGGGACTTGGAGGATGGTGAGGTGTAGCCCAGGATGAGGTTGCAGCCCTTTGCGGCGAGGTGCTCGGCGATGGCGACGCCGATGCCTGGACGGGGATAGTGTCAGACGATGTCTAGAAGCTTGCGAAGCATATGAAGCTTGCGATTAAGACATCTTACCTCGAGAGGCACCGGTCACGATGCCGAGCTTGCCATCCAGAGAACGAGTCATTGTGGAGGAACTTTTAACCAACTGCTGACTTCTTGTGAGCAGATTACGGTAGAAAGTAGAGAAAGGGAGTAGGTATATGGTTGCTGGTCAAAGAAGCGAATACGAGAGACAGAGAAGATCAAGGAAAGTTGACGATTAGGAACCCGGGAGTATTCTCTGGGTAGGTTATTATAAGCTACGTTGACGAAAGATACCTGGCCTTCTCGGGGACTGGAAAACCCTAAGATGCGATTGCACCGAATCGGCATCACTAGCAGCTCTCGTGACACATCAGACACTCTTGAGATCCCGCCCAATGGAACGCAAGCTCGTGGTAGACTACCTTACCTAGATATCGAGGACAAGAAGCAATCCAGTCGGTGTTTCTGGGAAAAGCTACCCCGCTATCGTAGCTCCAGAATGCGCTGGAGTTCGGTGCCCCGCGGTCCGGTGGACATCCCACACCTGGAACACCCCCACGTCATTCTCCCGCGCCAATCCGGGGCCTTCAGAGGGGGCACGGCATCTGGTGCTTCTGGATCATCGATTTTAGCGCTCCCTGTTTGAAGACCAGGGTTTTTTCTTTCTAGGCGGACTTTGTTGAACGGATGAGGGGTGCTTGTAAGGAATACGGAATTTGCAGTAACGAGAGCTTATGTTCATGGCAAAGTCCGACATTACTGCGGGGTGCTTAGGTACCTAGACACACCTGTAAACCCCACGTACTTTTTTCAAAGCTCGATGTCAGATGGAATTCTTGTTGAATTATTTTGGTATCACGATAAGTACGTGATTATCAATTCATTTTTCCGGCAGAATATGCCTCGCTGTTTCGATAGCTTTCCCTCCAGCCTTCGAATGAAAAAATAAATGTCTATTCGACGGTGAAGCTTTGGCATTCCACTAGCATATGATATATAGAGAAGGTGTTGTCATAGGATTCGGCCGTCTTTTTACTGAAACGGTCATCCAAGTGACACAACGATAAACCTCGAGCAACCTGGAAGTTCTTAAAGTAATGGAGAATCAGAGAGAATAGAGCCTTGCAGATGCAATTTCGAGTTCCATAGCAACACCAAAGTCAGAAGTCTTCGTAGTACACGGTTAATATGGCTTAGGTTTGAGAAAGTATATAGGAAATAAAGCTTCATGATGCTGCATCCAACCTATGACAGACTAAGCTAGATTCCATCAATAGTAGTTTCTGAGGTCCAAAATAAGAGGGACTTGCCTTTCTAACAGTGCGTACCTAATTCACGGAAAAGTTCCAGTTCACCATAAGCTCTGAAATACGATAGCATTTGGCGGGGCAGTTTTGAGCGACGCTCGGAGCCTTGTGCGGCGGTGGTGGGGTCCTTGCAGCCACCTCATGGTCCAACGACCAGGGTCTTTCCAAAAGTCTACCTCCCCTCCTCAAGCCTGGACCATTGCGAAATCAACCCACCACACCCCCCTCGTCTCTCAGCCTTGCGCTCATAGCTATCCCACGACGCCGGCCAAGCTTTGTCAGTCCTGGTAGCTTTCTATTCCTCGTCCCCGTACACCCACAAACCGAACCAACCGCCCACCATGGATATCCGCCTCCTCAAGCCCGCCGACCTCCCCCTCATACAGCATGCCAACCTCGAGAACCTGCCCGAGAACTATTTCCTCAAGTACTACCTCTACCACGCCCTCTCGTGGCCCCAGCTCAGCTATGTCGCCGTCGACGTCTCGCGCCCCAAGCGCACCCCCTACGACTACCCAAAGATCGTCGGCTACGTCCTGGCCAAGATGGAGGAGGAGCCCACCGACGGCGTCGCCCACGGCCACATCACCAGCCTCAGCGTCATGCGCACCCACCGCCGCCTAGGTATCGCGGAGAAGCTGATGCGCCAAAGTCGTGAGTTAATAACCGTCTTCCCCGGTCCTTCTTTTGTCACTGACAGACGACTGCAGAGCTCGCCATGGTCGAGACCTTCGGCGCCCAATACGTCTCCCTCCACGTCCGCGTCTCCAACCAGGCCGCCATCCACCTCTACCGCGACACCCTGGGTTTCAAGAACGAGAAGACGGAGAGCAAATACTACGCCGACGGCGAGGATGCCTTCTGCATGAAGCTCGACCTGAGCTACATCCGCGAGCAGATCCAGGACGAGCGCGATCGCGAGGAGGAGGCTGCCAGCGGCGAGGCCGCCGATGAGGGCGAGGCCGTCGGCGATGTGGGCCGCGACCCCAACGCCCCTCCGCCCACCGCTGCCGACAAGAAGCGCAAGGTCAAGGTCGGTCGTGGGCTGGGCGTCGGCGAGCTGGTTGAGAAGAATGAGACCAAGAACTAGGGTTTTTGAGCATGGGTTAGCACGCGCATTCCGGACGGATGTGCGCTGGCTGGAGCAGAGCGGGCATTTCGGGTGTCTGCTTGCCCCTTCGCTTGGAGCAGCGAACTGACTATCAGTTGCCGGCGTTGGCTGGGATAAAAAGTCGATGGTACCAGACAGGCCGACCTCGTGGCCCTCGAAGTGCCACCGCCATTTGGTTTCAAAATACAACTCAAAGCCCTGAATTCGAGTGGTACTTGGTTCATGTCAAAAAGGAGGCAGACGAAGACAAAGAATTCAAGTTTGGGCTGAGATAGCTAGCACGTCTGTACGAACTTGTGGGGTGGAGTTTAAAAGCCTCATGATCATGACTAGATACGGCGCATCATAGCATGGCAGACAGAAGAATAGACGAGGCAATGGTGGTATGAAATTAGGAAAAAGTTCCGTCTGATTATCTCTACAAATTATATACTTGTCTGATCCCCTCTACATGTGTGCATGTATGTTTGTAATCTGTGTATGTGTGTGTGTGTGTGTGTGTGTGTGTGTGTGTGTGCTGTTTACCACCCCCCAGATTTCTGGTCCTCCGCCGCCAGCTCCCTCGCAAACTCCGCGTCTGCCTCGACCCTGAGCTTCTCCACGTTTCTCGACAACTCGTCAATCTCCTCCTCCAAGCGGTGCGTCATCTGATCGCTGCCTCTCTCGCCCCATACCCGCCCCCATCCCCAACCTCCACGCCCTCGGCCGCGCCCACCGCCGCAACGTCCTCTTCCGGGATTACTATCCCGCATCTCGGTCCTAACCTTGTCCAATTCTCCGACCCTCCTGACGATTTCCTTCTCCATCTCATCTGCCGCCTTGAAGAGCGCCTGAGACGAGGGCGCCGGCGCCGGTATGGGCGGCGTAGAGGACCCGCCACCGCCGTAGCTGGGGCTCCTGTCCCCTGGTGCCGTGGGCCATGCTCCGGGCGGGACACCGCCGTTGATCGAAGGGGGTAGCGTTGACTCGCTACCCCTTTCTTCGGCGCCGCCGTGGCCGCGTCCCCATCCTCCCCAGGGACCGGGACCGCCGCCGCCGCCTGGGAACCCGCCGGGCACGGGACCCCTGCCCGGCCCTGGTGGTCCCCATGGGAAGCCCCAAGCATTCGGAACGGGGGAGACGTTGTGTGGGAAGTTTGGCATAGGGGGAGTGCCATGCACCACGGGGCGCGGGGGAACATGCACACGCGGCGGCGGCACGAACGCCCCGGGCGCGCCCCACGCCGTCGGTCCGGGACCGTGATGCTGTTGGTGTTGTCCTTGATGGTGCTGTTGGTACTGTTGGTGCTGTTGTTGGTGTTGGTGTTGATGATGATGGTGTTGATGTTGTTGATGATGATGGTGATTAGGACCCTCTACCGATCCACCACGTCCGCCATCGCCCCTCCGCGCTTCTCTTTGCGCTTCCCTCTGCTCTCGCCTTGCCTCCCTATTCTCCCTCCTCTCCTCCCTACGCTCCCTCTTCTCCTCCTTCCTTCTCGTGCGCCGTTCCCTCCGCTTTTCCTTGCGGGCCGCGCGCTGTTGGCGCTTGAGCTTGCGCCAATCTTGCGTAATGCTCCTGATCTCGGCTTTGAGTGCCTTTTCCTCCACCTTTTTCGACGTGTTGGTGGCTGCTGGGTCTACCTGATTATCTCGCTGGTCTTTCTGGTCCTCTGCCGCCGCCGTAGCACTCGCGGAGCGTATTTCCTCACGGAGCTGGGCAATGTCGTCTTTCGTGACGGGCTGCTCTGGGTGCGCGAGCCAGGAGGTTAAGCGCTGCTTATAGATCGGGAGCTGTGAGGGGTAAAGGTCTTCGTAGTCTGGTAGTGAGCCGATGGAGGATGCAGAGGACGTGGATGATGTTGAGGAGGCGGAGGAGGATGATGAGATGGAGCGCTGATCTGAGGGGTACCGACCAGGAGGTCGACCGCGGGCTGCGCCGCCTCCACCCCCGCCCTCGTGGGGTGCGTGTTGTCCGGGACCACCGCCGCCTTGTAAGAAGGGATGCTGCTCATTGGGGCCTGGATATGAAATAATCGGCTGGAGATGAGGACCCGCCGGAGGGAAAGGTCCGGATCCGGAACCGAACATCGGCACTGGTGCCGGTCCCGGAGGCGCGGGCGGAGGAGGAGGAGCCCAGCCCGGACCGACGTAGTGCGCTTGTGCGCGCGGCGTGGCGGTGCTCCCGAACCGAATGCCGTTCTCGTCCGCGATGAGGTTCCCTACCCGGATGCCGTTGCTCCCCGCGATGATGCGGTCGCCGATTGATATGCCATCCGTCGAGACCGTGATGCCGCCAAAAGTCCAACTGTTTCGAGAATCAGTCGAGCCTGACTGCGGCTGCTGCGGCTGCATCGCGGGAAGTTGACCTGGATGTGCGGGGAACGGTACGAGCGTGGGACCGCTACCAACACTACGATCGCCGCCTCCTCCGGCGGCAGGATTCTCGACAGTCCTGTCGAAGGACCGGTCCCACGCGCCCGGCATGTGCAGATCCTCCTCCACCACCTCGGGTATCAGCGTGATGAGCATGCCCCTGGGCCGGAAGAAGCCCTCGTTCCACTGCGCGACCACCCCCTCCGCATCCTCTCTCCTCAGCCCGGAGGCAGCAGCCGCCGCGCCGGGGTCGGTGTCCGGGTCCGCGCGGATCTGATCCAATTGCGCCGTGGCGTGCGTGCTCTGTCCGCCGGCGCCGCTCCCATTCGACGCAGCAGCGGCGGCAGCGAGGGCCTCCTCCTCTGCTTGCAGCTTGCGGTTGATGACGGCCTCGTTTCGCGCCGCGGCGTGATGCGGGATCAGGCAGTTGGTGAATGTCGCCCAGTCCTGCTGCGTGACGTCGAGGGCCGCCCATGCGGGGGAGTAGGGTACGTCGTCCGGTGTCGAGGTCGGGGTGACGGTCAGTGCGTGGACGAGAAGATGGTCTCTGGGTGAGGGGGCGAGTGCCGCGGGCGCGGGTCTGGATTCGAAGTAGGATGCCGTAAACTCCGAGTACGCTGATGCCGATGCCGACGCCGATTGAGGTTGATGAAATCCCCCCGTCGCCAGAGAGCGGCTTGAGAGGTCGAGACTGGCATTCGAGCCGTGATGATGGATGCCGCCACCGCCGCCGCCACCGTTGCTGCCTGGGCCGCTGGTGCGGGGTGTCAATGGCGGGGTGAAGATGACTTCGCTGTGAGACGAGGCATGCGAGGAAACGCGCGATGCGGCGTCGTTTTCGCCATGATGGGACGGGACGTGTGGTGAATTTGAGGGCGCGTTCGACGGTCGGCCGGAGGTTGAGTATATGTCTGTCTCGGAGTACGGCGGAGGTGGCACGTCTTCGAGCTCAGCGTCTCGCATGGCAGCCATTCGCGATGGGAACTGTTTCTGTGATGTACTGTGAAGCTCAAAGCAGCGCTGTCGAGAATGAATTATTTTGAAGGACAATGATGATGAGATTATCGGACTATTCACCAAACTGGTGGATCTAGTCGAAGATAGCAGATAATTGTGACGAGAGACGAGAGGTAAGATTGGAAGATATGGAAAGCCGAGAAGACAAGGTGAAGAAACCCAAGACTTTGAAAACGGCACTACGGCACATGGCAGACGAGGAAAGTGTGGGATTACAAGGCATTTTGACGAGCTTCTTAGCTGGGCTGGATTGCGCTGGGCCTCCCGATCACCGTTTGACTCAATCCTCCACTCCCCTCCATAATCTTTCCCCAATCCCAACCTACACTAGCAAACAAACGGCCATGCTTTCCGCCAGCGAACCTCTCTGATCAGTTTGTCTCCCATTCGCATAGCCTTAGGACGTCCAAATCCTACCCGTCGAACCACAGTTCGTTACTCCAAATAGGGCCGGGGTGGACCCCACACCCTCGGGAGCCCAAGCGGTGCGGCCGAGCCCACGCCAGGTAGAGATAAGCATCAACCTTGTTTGAGCGTGACCCCTGCGGTCCACGGCGCAGTCAAACGTTGCGAGGGGCACGCGTTATTCTCTACCCGGCTATTAGTGTCTTCCCTTCCCAAAAGGAGGAATGAAGCCACTGCCCAATCGAACCTGGATGAGAAAGCCGCAATCACCTTTTCGAGAATGGAAGGCTCCCGGAGCTGCAGCGTCGTGCTGACGCGGCCCCTCCGAAGGTAGCAGTACGCCATCAGTGCATGTCATCCTCCACATCAGCCACCACTGGCCACTGTGACCAGAGCCCGCAGTCTAGTGGGTCTATCTCCCATGCCGTTGGAAACGCCGCCCCAACCTTTGGAGCTTCCCTTCCATTCGGTTACCCCTCTGAACTGACGCCTGCCGAACCAACCGACCCTAGCCCTAGAAGAGCAATGACCCAAGGCCAAAACGCGAAAAAGTGTACTGTACAGAACCCCGGCTATGCATGCGCCTGATAACATCAATGACTGGCCAGGGCCAAGAGTTCGTTCGCTTTCGTCTTCGGGCCACGAATCATCCCCACGGCCGCGGACGACGCTGTCGCGTCCCGGCGGCGTTGATAGTGCTAGGCATTTCCCCAGCGACACGTTCCCGTGGCAGCGCTCATCGATCGGCCTCGGTGCTCCAGAGGTGGAAGTCGACGTCCTCTGGCTTATAGTGATCCGCAATAATGGTAGACAAATGGTTCCGCGAGTGTGCGCCACTGTGTAGCATGTTAGCTACGGTTCATCGCCCTCATGTGTGCGAGAACTTACAGGTTTGTTATGTAGGTGTCGAGCAATTCGGGAGGCACGAATTCACTCACTGCGCTCCGTACGTCGACACCGTTGACCATGGCTCCGTCTGCGAAGCTAACATGGCCCATGGAGCTTCCCCATTCCACCAGGCTCTCCTCGTCAAAATAGCTCTCTGGGCAAAGCTTGTAGACACCGCTGAGGATGATCACTGGATTGCCCTGCTCCTTGGCTGCGCGCGCAATGACCCCAGCGCCTGCGTCTGTCAAGATGCCGCCATTGGCCAAGACGGCTCTTGCTCCCAGTATCACCTTGTTGATGCGGGGCATGTAGGCCATCAAGCCGCTGTTCAGAATGTTGATCGCGCTGATGCCTGCCGCTGCCAGCTTCTTCCTGAAAGATGCGTACGGCGGCTCACCGGCGGAGCAGGCAGCCGTTCCTGCAGCGATGAAGAGGGTGAACTTTCTTCTTGTCGCAGCGCGCAAAATGAACTTCTGGACTGTGGCTGAAGGCTGGTGCACCAACACGTAGTCCCCAGGGTGAATCTGAACATCCGCTGCCCCGGCAATCTGGTCGTCCACCTGACCGATCTCGTCCTTGAGCTCCTCGATACCCTCACAGACCTCTGATCTCAGCGCGTGCACCCTAGTTGATTGTCCACGAAGGGGCGTCGAAGCGCCAGAGTCCTTGCCAAACGGCGATCCCGCCATGATGCCAGCCGTGTCCACTGGGGGAGACGCTTCGAGAAGAGAAAAGAGAGACTTTGACACATGGAAAGAGCTCGCGGATGTGAGGAAACCAGGGCGAACAGGTCTCGGGCTGCTCGTGATGTAGTCGGAACCGGCATCCTGCTTGGTATATGTGGAGGGAGGCCATTGGTGCTCAAGCTTGGAAGGGTCGGGCACTGCTGTCGTCGGGGTCCCTCCAACCTCTGTGGCGGTCTCGCTAATGTCCTCGTTTCGGTCCTCGGCAGCCTCGTCTCGGATCAGGCTCAACACGCGTCTAACGATGTTGCCTACGACCAATTCCTTGGGCTGCGCGGCGATGAGGCGCAATCCGATCTGCTGCACCTTCTCGAGCAACGAATCGACGTCAGCCCACTTAGATTTGGCAACGACCTGGAGGAGGATGTGTGCGGTCGCGACGGCGCAAAGCTCGGAGCCCTGGATCTGTCTTCTTTTCAGGAGACTGGTGAATTCAAGGATTAGCGCGGATTTGCCAAGAAGAAAACGCGGCCAGCAGAATACGTACGATATGAGACTGTCAATTGACGTTTCCAAGGGCTTACCCTTGAGGGTTTTGAGGTACCGCTCGAGGTCCCCCGCGCTGGGCTTCAGGGTAGCCATTTTGGGTGGGTGCTGTCGCCGATGTCAAGGTCCGATGTTGGGAGGGGGTTTTTTGGCGGATCGTCGCAAAGACTTTTCTGGATTATTTGAGGAGTGGCTGGAGTCGCAGGTGCTTTCGAGATGGTATTTTGGTCGTCTTCAGTCAATGCAGCATGTGAATTTACCGATCAATGGCCGTTGATCTAGCTTGGCTTGGACTGAATGGAGAATTGGAAATTGTGCGCAAACGGCTGTGACTCAACAGTGAAGCTTGGAGAGGGACAACGAACGACCCCTGTCACACTAAAAATTTCGAGGGGCATTGGGTGACCACCAGCTCCGTCTCATGCCCGCCTTGCCTTATTACTAGGGACAGCTGGCATCGGTGGGTGGCAGCCCTCAGAGGCGGGTTAGTCTCGGCCCGAAGCAACCCGTGATGGGAGGAACACGTCAAGTTCCCCAATGACACTTCTGAGAAAGCACTCCACTGCGTGAATACCCCTCCATCACTGCAAAATGACGTTTGCGCCTACATTTGCTGCTGTAAGTGATGCGTTAGGGGCACACAGCAGCTGGCCATCGCACTGCGGCGCACTGCGAGCTGTCCGTCATCTACCAGGTTGACAGGAACCCTGAGGTACTTTCGTCTTTGAATTGAAATTGCCCCGGAATGCCACCAGCTGCTAGGTCTCAAGGACAAATGTGCCGGTATGTCATTACTTGCTTTGATCTATTCGTTTGGAATCTAAATTCATTTCTGCTCGTCTCTCATCTCGAAAGTCCCTACTCTCCCCCAAAGCAGCCCGCAAAACGAGGTTGTGCGGTTAAGGTTATTTGTGAAATTTGAATACTTGACTCTTAGTCGTTTCAACTGCAATTCAATTTTTTAAAGCAACGTATGGAGGGCCAAAATGATATCCTCTGCGTCCCGTATAGTTATGACATTGTCGAGACAAGTTGCGAGAATATGTGTGCGACATTGCTACAAACCCCATAGTGAGGTACCAGATGTCCATCAGAAGGACTTGAGTCAGATATGTAAGCTATGGTCACAATTTTGTATTCTATCCTGGTTTCGCAACGAGGGCTTTTCCTTACGCGCTCCTCTTGACATCTGATGCAGAATATCAAATGTGGTAGAAAGCAGTATTGCGAGTTTCCGCTACTACATGATGTTGCGGCCTACTAGTTGGGTTGCAAATTAAGTCTTCGGACTAGGTAAGCCATCCAATTGACGTCTCAGACGCAACCACACCCAACACGACAAGGCTCTCGTACGAGCATCGGATGACAGAAGGCATCCCTTAATTGGTGTAGACGATACCTTATTCATGTCACTTTCTTCTCGCTGCTCGATTGAGTCTTTTATGAATGCGTGGCAGCTAGGGTTCTCAGAGGGGCTTCTTTCCGACACTCCAGGTAGATAGAAGGGCCGGTGGATAAGGACGAAGAGCGAATGGTTGAGCGGCATTGGAACACGGATACGAAAGTGATGGATCGGGTTTGCGAGGCCCAAAAGAGGCCGCATTCCGTCAAAGATTTCGATGCTGCAGAATGCGGCCCCCGATTCATGCCCGGTCGGCCTTGTCGGCCCCGTCTCTGTTCAATCAAACCCTCAACAACGACGGCAAAAGTGGAGAGGCTCTCTTTCACATGGAAAAAGAGCACACAGTCATCAGTCAGAGCAAGGTAGTTCGGTATCGGCTGACGGACGTTTTCAATCATTTTACACGAATCCTTGCCCTTACGAGCCCTGGTGGCAGGTTTTGATGAAGAAGAAAGCGAAGTAGGGGAGTGTCCACAAACCCGTACCTATCTATGACAGTGAAGGTAATAAGGTAGGGAGTGTGTCAGGAGGTCAACTGATTCATACATACCGTAGCCAGGTAGTTCCTCAGGTACTCTCCCACTCCTCATCATGTCAGTTTGTGTTGGGGAAGATACCTTTGAATGTGGGCTGAGGTACATCCACTAGGTAAGGTAGCCGCTTGGCAGCAGCTGGCCCGCCTACCGCCCTCGTCCTGCATCTTCAAAAAACTGCAACAGGCGGCAGCGAGTGGAAGGATGAGGCGGAAAGAGATATCCAGTGGAAGGAAGTGAACGATTCGACACGTGAACCCATCTTCGTTGCCCATTCCCCCACAAGGGTCAACAGTCAGTGTAACCCCACGGTCAGCCCTGGGCCAGTACCGTCAATACCGGCATCAAACCGTTCTTCCAAGTTGCCATCGGATCCCAGTGCTACTACGGTCCTACCCTGCCAAACCCAGCAGATTTCCATAGTGTTGAGCTGCTACTGCGCTGCTGCTGCTGCTGCTGCTGCTGCTACTCCCCTCCGCTTGCTTCCCTTCCACAGCTTCCACTCGCGCCTCTACCTCACCTCACCTCACCTTATTGGACTGCTCGCCGGCACCTCCAGTCACGGACCAGGTCACTGTCCATTTCATCCATTGCCTTTGAACGCTACCGCATCCCGGCCGCCTCGATACTTCCAACTCCCGAGAGCCCGACTGACCCTGTTACACCTTCTCTCCCCTCACAAGGTCCAATCGACAGGTTTGCGCGCTGACGGCCATATCTCGCTTTAGCGTCTGTTAGCTGTCGACGGACGAACCTTTTTCGCCAGCGCCACCACCGCGCGCTTTCATTTTTCTAGGGCCTCGTTCGCTCATGGCGAGCTGATTGTTGCGTTTCTTGGATTTTGGGGGGAAACCATCTGGCCAGCCCACGGCTTGCGTTCCCCGACCACGACCACAAGCACGACCGACGACAGACCCGTCCAGCATCTCAACCTCACGCAATCCCACCAAACACCACAGATTCAGCGACCAGCGACGCACTTGAGACGATTGACAATCCTACACTCGCTTTATCCAACTGTGGTGAATTCGAAGTACTCCCTCGACGCCCGTTTCTCCTGACGCGACTGCTATAATATCGCCTCCTTCGTCGCGCGGAACGTCTGGAACATTCCTGACCATCGAAACCACCCCTTACTATCGACCCTCGACGTCCCCTGAACCCTTCTACTTCCGCATCGCAATCCGCCCTCGACCCTCCATGCCTCATGGATTGCATATTCTATCAAAGATGAACTCCCTGAACATCATCACCTCTCGCGTCTCTCCGCCACCGAGTCCGGTTGCGTCGCGATCCAACTCCATTGGCTCCTTGGGATTGACCGTCCAACCTGACAGCGACCACCGTGGCAGCGAAGGCGCAGAGAAACAGGGCGACGACCAAGACGAGGATGTCTTTCCCCTCGAAAAGTCAGCTTTTGAACAGCGCAACGACGCCCATGGAGCACTAGATCTCGAGAGCGAAGCCACGCCGCTAATAGGAGAGTCAAAAGAAGCAGGGTTGAGGTCATCTTCATGGCACTCACTGCCTCGGCGCATCGCTGCTGGTTTTATCAACTCTCTCCGCTGGGTGTTATCCACTCTTGCCACCCCGGGTGTATATCTGATTGCCTTCCTTTACGACGATGCAGGGAGTTTCTCGCCCTTTTTCCAGCTAAAAAGACTATTCGGTCTGCACGACAGAAACAATAAAAAGCTTGCGACTGACTTTCCTGATTCTTTGGACAAAAAGTCGGGTCGGCAGGGCAGCGCCGGATATGGAGGGGTTGCGTATTCAAGACCAGTGGGATCATCTGGTTCATCTTCTTCGGGCATATCTTCAGAATCAGACTCCGACGCCGATCGCCGACGCCGGGGCTCTTCCGGTCGGCACTCACGTTCAAAGTCTGCAGCGGAAGAGATTGCGCCGGCACGGAGATCCATTCGTATAAAGCTACACAGTGACGATGCTCTTCCGCAACGCAAGCATCGCAAGACACAGTCTGCCGCAACACGCCCCAAGGGCGGTGGTGAATCTGGCTCCGATATTTCCGCACAACTCAAGTCTCCGACGTCTCCCGCAGGTGCGCTGACGAGATATCCAAAGACACCAGCCCCTCCTCGACCCTTGATACCTCGACGACAGCCGTCATACCTGAACCTCGAGCCTTCAACCGACCCCAAGTATCAAAAGACGCTCATTTTGGATCTAGACGAAACTCTGATTCACAGTATGTCCAAGGGTGGACGCATGAGCACGGGACACATGGTCGAGGTCAGATTGAACCAGACCTACGTCGGTGCTGGAGGCCAGACGTCTATCGGACCGCAGCATCCCATACTATATTGGGTCAATAAGCGCCCACACTGCGATGATTTCCTCCGTCGGGTAAGAATCATTCAAGATAACTTGAGGAGTGCTTGACGCTAATTGGGCGATGAAGGTTTGCAAATGGTACAATCTCGTCGTCTTCACGGCCTCAGTACAGGAGTATGCCGACCCCGTCATTGACTGGTTGGAGGCGGAGAGGAAATTTTTCTCGGCGCGATACTACAGACAGCACTGCACATTTCGACAGGGAGCCTTCATCAAGGACCTTAGTTCGGTTGAGCCGGACTTGAGCAAGGTCATGATCTTGGATAACAGTCCATTAAGTTATATGTTTCATCAAGGTGCGTACTGCCGAAAACCCATCTGCCTGTGGAATTCCGATTGACATGGGGTTTATCGCTAGATAACGCAATCCCTATCCAAGGCTGGATCAACGATCCGACAGACAATGATCTTTTGCACCTTGTGCCGCTGCTCGAAGGTCTCCAGTATGTGTCGGATGTGAGGGCGCTACTTGCATTGCGTGGAGGCGAAGATGGTCAGCATATGGCGTAGAACTACTGTAGAAGGGAACTGGTGTACTGGCATGAAAATGGTAAAGCGAACACCAGCGGCTTCAACTTCGTGGTGCAGCGCTGTATTAATAACATTTGGTAAAGGAATGGTGAGAGTGCTTATTGGGCGGCACGACGCAATGTCGGTACGATTCCGTAAAGCTTCAGCAATACATGCCAGGCCACCAGCCTTTTTGTTGGTTGCCAACGTTCAGCGGAATTATGCACTGCAGGCGAAAAGTGGTGATGGTGTGTCTCTCTAGGTGTTTAAGCTTGCTTTGGTCAATGTAAGTGAGTAGACCTAGGGATCTTGCGGACGTTGAGCAAAATGACGAGCTGTACGCCATTTCCATATTCCTTCGTGCCTGAGCTAGAGCAGCTGGGCACAGTTGAAGGCGACTGGACTTTGACGAACGGAATTTCGTGCTGTAATGATACCATCCGTACGTCAGGTAGCTCAGCTACCCTTGCGAATGCGTTTCTAGACTCGGCCGGAGCTACATGCAGAAGTTGGCAGGCCGGGAAAAGAGGCGCAGTTCATGGGTCGACATGTACAAAACTGAAATAGCGAGGCATCTTTTGCCTCGGGTATGAGTGATACGTTATGTGTACTAATCCCGGAAATCTAATCTTGATCATGTTGCTCCAGATTTGGTCAATCTCTCCACCGCGTGTTTGCAAGTGCGGGTGAGAAGCTACAGGGAGTCGTGGAGGACACGCTCCGGGAATCCGTCGCAGAGTACTCAACGCGGGCCAACGCGGGCGAAGCTCAAGCATACGGGAGCGAGGGGAGATGATGTGCTAGGTAATCCCAGACGGCAGAGGCGACGGAATAGATGCGGATAGCTTGGGTACCTATGCGGGCCCAGGGAGAGAGGTCCATCGGGAGGTCTCGCCCAATTATTCGAGCAATTATGGGGCCTGGGCCGCCTGGCCTGTAATTTGTGGGTTCAGCGGGGAAGGTGGGTGGTGACATCATTCGACAGGTGACGACACCACGACATCGACTGCTGGGCGACGCGACAGAAAGAGGCATAGCCTAAGTTTACAGAAGCTTGGGACACACATTGACACATCGAAAAGGCACATAGGTAGCTGATCTGAGTGCAGACACTAGAGAGAGAGAGAGATGGGAGAGCTCTGTGACATGGCTCTCTGTACCTAGGGCCTCCACCCCCTGCTTCGTACCATGCCCAGCTACGCTTTAGTGCGGGTAGTGTAGCTCATGCTTCACGCTTTTCTGGCCAGAGGGAAATCAGGTCCAACCGATGATGGAATGAGACCTCGATCTGGCCCCTTCCATTCGCGGCGCCTGAGGTACTGGTAGCTTCCTCTTGTTTCGCTCTGGGACGACGGGCAGGACGCACTTGCCTTGCTCCGGCTACCTCTTTGCATGCTGAGGCTGAGGTCACAGGTTGCTCGCGCCCAGTCTCCCTTAGCACATAAAAGCCTTCCCCTCCCACCCATTTGGCTCGGGGTACCTATTTACATCACTTCTTCCAGACCAATTGATTCTTTTTCCATCACAACAAGATACCCCGAAATCAGTCATCATGTCTTTGCACTGTAAGTCGCTGCCCGTCTCCGCTGTGGATGAGAAGCTGGAGGAAGCATCGCGCCTGCTCTACATATGCCCTCAGTCCAAAATCCCTTGAGGGAGTTTTCCCTCGGGATGATGTGTCTATGTTGGACTCGAGGACGAACCCAGCCGTCGTCAATGCAGTATAGCTGACCACCCTTTTGCGACAGATCTCCCCCCCGTCAAGCCTTCGGCCATTGCCCTCGGCACCATCTTCAACCATACGGCTGAGCTTGCTGGTACGTGAAATCCTCCACAAGCCCACTTCCAGTGCGCCATTCCATAATTGTATCAGCTAACTCAAGCTTGCCTCTCAACAGTCTTGACCCCTATCTTCGGCCAGACCTACCAGCGCGCCAAGGCCGCCAACACCAAGGAGGAGTTCGCTCGTTCCAAGGAGGCCCAGGGTGCTGCCGTCGCCTGGGGCACCTCCCTCGTGGGCTCTGCCCTTCAGTCCTACGGTGTTGGTGCCCTCATCAACGCCACCGGCACCTTGTCTTACAAGGGCGCTGCTTACCTCGGGTCTCTGATCTTCTTCGCTACCTCTGCTCCCGGCGTATGTCATACCTTCCTGCCGATTCATCATGACCCATTATCTAATAGCCGCAGTACATCTCCCAGGTCTTCGTTGAGAAGCGTCCCGTCGACACCGTTGGCGTCAGTGTTCTGGCCAAGGTCATTGAGACTGTCGGTCTGTCGGTCTTCCTCACCTGGTGGGGAACTCGCACCAACCCCTTCGACTAAAGGGCTATGTGTTGCGATTGTTCGAGCGCTCACCAATAGATTGCTCGTGTGCTATTACCGCTGTATTGGATGGGATGAGGACATGGGGTTCAAAGATAGCTAGCAATTGCGGCTAAGGTCATTGTCATGTACCTACACTATTACGTCTACTCAAGCCATGATTCCCTTAATCGATCAACTCACTTTATGAGGCTTCTTGGAATTATGTTTTGGTTATTGTGATGAGCTGTGACGAGAATTTCAACACACCGGGGCAGTAACGTATATGCTGTTTGGGAAGCCACAACAAAGACCTTGATCCTGGCACTGAACCATTGTCGTCCCATTCGTTACGACTCCCATAGTTGCCTTGTCACTTCAACATTGATGGCCATAATTTGGCACTAATGCGGGTCACCAAAGAACCATGGCCAAACATGCCTTGCATTTTGCGCCCATACATTGTCAACCTGCTACTGGATTAGGAGAATAGTGTAAGTGCTTGGATAGAATATACGCAACTCTTTGCAGGGTGAACATCACCACAGCGTAAATGGCCGACCTGCTTCATCAGCAGGACATGGCTGCCTTATTCACCAACAAATCACCTGGGAAAAAGGCTCTCGACATCCCGTGTCTGAGAGCAGGTCAAGCAATTCCTCCACACCTCCGCACCCTTAAAGGTTCCAACGGAAGTTGTAATGATGTAAAATCATATATTGTTTTTCTCAAGAGAGAGACTCAAGAGAGAGTAGTGCAGACAAGTACTACCCCATGCCCCAAAAAGTTGCCCTAAAACGCCATTCTTCTCTTTTTAAAAAACCAGCCAAACAGCTTTTTTACCCCATATAGTATGACAATTCATCATTTCCTCAGCTGACCTTGATTGTATGTGATTGGAACGACAAGCACGCACTCCTTTGACGCAACGTGTGTCGTTTTGTTCCGTGCCGATGGACCCAAAAGGCGATTATGCCCAGAAAGACTGCTTGGCAGTCTCCTTTTGCACAAGCTTGACGAGCGCAGCGTACACTTCGGAGTAATCCTCGCCGTCGTCCTCCTCATCGTCACCACCCTTGGCCTCGCTAGACGACTTCTTCTCGGCCTTCTTGGCGTCGGCGGCAGAGCGCTTCTCCGAGACCATGACGACCGAAGTCGGGCGCTTCGTCTTGGCGGCGGCACCGAGCTCGGCGCGGGAGGTGACAAAGATGTAGGGCACGTTGTGGTCCTCGCAGAGGACGGGGAGGTGGGAGATGACGTCCATGGGGGAGATGTCGCCGGCGATGACGACGACGCCGGGGAAAGCCGTGTTTCCGGGGCCTGCGGCGGGGGATTTGCGGAGGGTCTTGACGACCTCCTTGACGCCGCGCTTGAGGGTGTTGTTCTTGGCGGCTGTATGTAACGTGGTTGTTAGTCGTCTGGATTTTGGGGTCGCAAAGTGCCATGATTAGGCCGGGGGAGAATATAGAGTTGCCTTTGACAGCGTTCCCGTGAAAGAATTGTGTTGTAAGGAAAGAAGGTAGGACTTACCCTTGCGGATGGACTTCATAACCTTCTTCATGGCCTTCTCGTCGGCCAACGGCACGGCAAAGGGCACGAGAGCGCCGACGACGGGGAGGCCATCGGCGGGGGTCTTTGACGCGATCTCGCCGCTGGCGACTGCGGTGGCGGCGACGTCGGCCTGGAGGTGCTCGTCGAGAGCGCGCTCGAGCTTCTCCTTCTTATCCTTTTTATCCTTCTTGTCCTTCTTGTCCTTCTTGATGGCGCCGTCGGACACGGATCGCTTCTTGTCCTTCTTCTCCTTACGGTCGGGCTTCTCGGCGGCCATTGTGACTATTGATGGGTCCTTTTTGAGACCTTTTGATTTCAAGGACAATTGGCAAGTGAGGAAGGACGAGGTCGAGGGAATCCGGGGTGGGCGGCGACGGTCGTGGTATGAAGCTTTGGGCGCGGCAAGATTAATAGGCTTGGTTTTTTTTTTTTGCTGTAGACTAATGCAACTTTTTTCCCTAGGTAGCCCCACCTTTGCAGCTGTGCGACTGGGAAAGTTCGGGGGATAGGTATATCCGTGCCGGATACTGTTGACCGAGAGTCTAACCTCGGTGTGAAAGTCACGTGCTTGAATATAGCCAATCAGGATCCAGATGTTGAGCAAATGTCAGCGCAATGTCAGGGCCGAGGATATGATCCCGTTTTGGCCGGTAACAACAAGGACACATTGAGAAGTCAAGCTTAATCACTTTACTGCCTTTCTGTTCAGTCACCAAAGATCAGGTAGTTGGTCTTGTTGTAAAGGTTGTAAAGCAGGATGGTGCTACATCTTGGACTTGGATGCTTGCCTCTATGCTCTCAGGCCTCAAGGAGCTTCGTCGTAAAATGAGGAATGAGTCGGCGACTAGCCCATCTGACATGTCTGCAAGAATGGAGCATGTGGAATGTTTAAATCGTCCAAATGGGGCTCTATTCCATGTCTCCCCCTCTACGTAGTTGATATACACGTGTTTTGACACAGGGAATCGTTATCCGCCTCTAGCACTCGTCGTCCGCCTTCTTCGAGAAGGAACATTTACTCCTCGTCACTGAACTCGGCGCGGCCCTGCTTGGAGTTCAGGTAGTGGTTGCTGCATCGAATGTTAGTATGCGATGTTGCTTTACGTCGGATGCCCTCGTTGTTGTCGGGAGAGAATCCGTGAGGATGACTGACCGGTGGGTGGCCCAGTCCATGATGTACCAGCCGGCGACCAGGGGAGGAAGGAAGTAGAGGACCTGGTGGCTGAAGCGGCGCCAGGTGTTGAAGACGGCGTCGTGGGCGGCGCCGGCGAAGGGGTTCTGACGGTTGGGGGTGATGCCGTAGGTGATGATTCCTCTCTGCTTCTCGCCACCTGCAAATTCGTCAGTACCAATATTCGGCTCGAAATGCGTTTCGTTTGCGCATGGCGCAGGCCACAAGATTCTGGACAAGTCCCTCCTCTTCCTTCCCATGTTCGATCCCGGGACCATCATCCATTGCCTAGCCGCGTCGCCATCATATTTCGACATCGAAGAAGTTGCGAGAAAACGTACCAATGTGTCCCCACCAACCGAGGTAGCTATCCAAGTGTCAGCGAGAAAATCACAGAATGCAATTGAAAGCGGTGCGTGGCGCGGCGGGCAGAGGGAACTTCATGATTTCCCACTCGGAAAAGCCCGCATGCCTCTGCCCGATCCTTGTTCAATTGACCACCAGCAAAGACTTTACTTACTGAGAGTACTTTCCGTGAGGGACGCTAGGTCCTCCCATAAGAGCTTGCGTAGGTCTCATCGTGGCGGTGTGCTGTGGTGGACGGTAATGTGCAACACGGGTTGAGATTCGATTCTGTCGGACTGGAAAACGGAGAGGGTCGAATCAGACGAGGTTCAAATCTTGTCCCTTTCCTGCCGAACCCGAAAGCTGAGGCGCACGGCCCCATTGGGCTTAGCGCACTTCTCTGCCTTCGAACCGTCACCACCACCCCGGTCGCCCAGTCTCCAAAATTCCATGACGGAGCTTACCGCCGCATCTGTGAGAGGAGCTTTTGGCAGCTTCAACCAGTCCTTACATTGCACCACCAGCCCACCACTAAATCGCCCAGAAGCTCTCTCGGATAGCCCGCGATACCCCCAGCGGATTCGCAACCTCCCTCTGAACGCATTGCACACACCGAATCCAGTCGCCTTTTTCCCCACCGTCCGCAATAATGGCTCAAGCTCTGGGCTTTGCGTACCGCATGGCCGTCCCTGCGGCCATCGGTATCGCGGTTGTGCAGTCGTCGATCTACGATGTCAAGGGTGGATCCAGAGCAGTCATCTTTGACAGGATTTCTGGTGTCAAGGATACTGTCATCAACGAGGGCACGCACTTCCTCGTGCCGTGGCTGCAGAGAAGCATCGTCTTCGACGTGCGGACGAAGCCGAGAAACATCGCGACGACGACGGGTAGCAAGGATCTCCAGATGGTCAGCCTGACCCTCCGTGTGCTGCACCGGCCCGAAGTCCAGGCCCTTCCCAAGATCTACCAGGTGAGCCTCTTGAAAATACCGTCCCCCATACAACACTGACCACCAATACCCCATCCAGAACCTCGGCCAAGACTACGACGAAAGGGTTCTCCCCTCCATCGGAAACGAGGTCCTCAAGTCCATCGTCGCACAGTTCGACGCGGCCGAGCTCATCACCCAGCGAGAGGCTGTGTCGCAGCGCATCAGCTCCGACCTCCGTAAGCGCGCCGCCGAGTTCAACATCGCCCTCGAGGACGTCTCCATCACGCACATGACGTTCGGTAAGGAGTTCACAAAGGCCGTCGAGCAGAAGCAGATTGCCCAGCAGGACGCCGAGCGTGCGCGCTTCATCGTCGAAAAGGCCGAGCAGGAACGTCAGGCCAACGTCATCCGCGCCGAGGGCGAGGCCGAGAGCGCCGAGACCATCAGCAAGGCCATTGCCAAGAACGGCGACGGCCTGGTGCAAATTAGAAAGATTGAGGCGGCCAGGGACATTGCCGCGACGCTGTCATCGAATCCTAACGTTGCGTACCTGCCTAGCGGCGGTAAGAACGGTAACCAGATGTTGTTGAACGTCGGCCGGCCGTAAGAGAATTGCGAAAATGGCAAAAGAGGCGGGGAATGAACGAGTGAAAAAAAGGCGACGCTGTACTATAGACTTTGAAGGCAAGTCACCGCTTCAATAAGTGTAATCATAGGGCAATGAATTCTGCCTCCTTTCCACACGCTGAATTTGTGTCTCATGCTTCGTTTTTGTGAAGGTCTCTCGTTCTTTTGGCTGGGTTGAAGAATATACCGTGTAAAATACGGCTGAGCGGCTCTTGGTCATTCAATAACTTAGTTGAAGACCGTATCAGTGATTTTAAGACGCCACTCTCTCCTTCATCGCAATGACTGAGAGGACTCTGTACACATTATGAAGACAAACGCACGTATTGGAAGGGAAAGCTGCCCCCTACTAAAGTATTCACACATTTTACATTACAATAGTTCTAGAAGAAGAGAGAACTCTTGAGTTGCCCCAGTTCATCGGCTATGGATGCTCAGCGCGTGGGCAAAGACCGGTGTAAGCTACGGTGTCCCACAAGAATCGAAGATTCCCATACCGCCTAGGCAGAATCAGATCCTCAACTGGCAACAGAGCCTTACTAATCCTCCCAAAGACATGGCCCTCTGTACCAGGTACTCCAGTCACATACCTCGTGTCTCTCGCTCATTCGTTTCAACTCATACTCTGTTCCAGCGACTGTCTCACGCCCACTGACCTAGCACGAACAGAAAGACAGGTCTTCGTTGGGCTATGAGTTGTCAAACAGGGGTCATGCGTGGGACTTGAGGAGAGCGGATGGCCGCAGGATTCGCCTTGACGTCGACGTATGAAATCGTCATGGCCATTGAGGGCCTTCATACATCAGAAGATGACCAGGACAGCTTACTTCAAAGCGGCTCGAAGAATCCATTAGTATTAAAGGAAACCCTCTCATAGGGCAGGTATCATAACGGCAAAAGCCCATCGACCCAAGGCATCATAGGGACCCCGAGTCCTCCCCAACGCCAGCGCAAGTTCTCAAAAAAATCAGCCATGTATAATGTCCACCCGCCTCTAAAAAGCAGCTTCAAGGAACTCTGCGGTCAGGTGACCATTGAAGTCGTCCACCTTTCCACCAGGCGGAACAAATTCACCACCCTCGAGCTTCCAACCTTTGAGCTTCATGCTCTTCCATTCCCCCGAGAGCTTCAGACGCACGAGATCTCCCGCAGCCCGGGCGTCTTCCGCACTGTCGTGCCCCTGAATCTTGCCAGCCGTCTCAACTTGAATTTTGCGATTGAGGAGATTGTCCATCAGCATCTTGAGGCCAAGGCGATAAGGAAGGCCATGCTTGTGAGGGTAGAGAAGCACGGTGTCGATGACAGTGGGATGGACGATGCGAACGGCGTTCAAATCATTCTCGAGTCCGTGACCAATCAGTGGAGTGTCGGGGCTGATGAGAGCAAAAAGAAGATCGCGACCAACTTCAGGGGACGACACAATCTTCATCTTCTTCTTCGTCTTCTTGGGGCTCGCCATCTTTTTCGCCTGGGCAGGAGTTGGGTCTTCTTCCTTTGCAGTCCAGGGTTCTGCGGATGCCATGTCTTCAGGCCACACACCCGAGTACCGCGAGTTGAGATCAAGGATCTCACCGACGGGCTGAACAAGGACGTCCAACAGCTCCTCTCCATTAGGCCAAGATGTTGCAGTGAGGCGGATGAGCTCAAGGCCATGGACTGTGTAGCACATTTCGCAATCGAAGCCAACGGCTCTGTCGGTGGGAGCGTTGGGGTTGACCGGCGTCTCGGCGTAGTTCAGAACAGTAGCCAGTCTCTTCGGATCCGATGCCTTGAAAACATGGTGAGGGTTGGAGTGGCAGCCGGCGGAGTCTCCAACGGCCTGTCCACAGCATCGGTAGCGTTTGGCTTGCTGGGATCTATCACCCAACTGGCGCTCGGGGAAATAGGTCTTGCCCCAGTGGAAGGTACAGCTGCCGCCAGAGGCGAGAGCTCCATCCTCTTCTCTTCTTCCCGGGAACATTTGGAAGCGCTTGTCGCAGCGATCACACTTCTCCCAACCTTTTGCAGCATCAAGACCCTCACGAGCCTTTTGGATATCGGCATCAGCAGGAACAGATGAGACATAGCCATGGGCGGCAAGGCCGTCGATGGGGGTGATAAGTTGGCGAACAAGCTGAACTTCCTGGGCAGGGGTTAAACCCGTGACTATCTTCTTGGGAGACACGGGAAGCTTGTTGTGAGGACCCTTTTGGGTCGTTTGGTGGCGTTGAACGACTCTCTCCTCCTTCCACTGAAGGACTGTCATCTTTTTGTACTGCATGATTTTGTTTTTGATTACGTTTGAGTAGATGGCGCCTTTCTCTATTGCTGTGGATTCTTCCTCGTCAAGGACTCTCCAAATGAGATCCTGGTCTGTGAGGGCGAGCTGCTTCTCTTCCGCGTCTTTGGCAGTCTTCTTGAGTTCGTTGTTCAGGCGTGTGTATTGTTCATGGAGCAGCTGCACGAGCTTGAATCGAATCTCAAACTTTGCCGGTGATGACTTAAGTAAACGAGGGTTGAGAGCTTCGGTCTTCCTAACCTTCTTCGGAGTTGGCTCGGTCTTGGAGGGGGTCAATGGAGTGCGAAGGGAAGCAGTGTCTTGTTGACCTGTTGTTGGGTTGGCAGTAGAAGAATAAGAAGATGTGGTGGCAGGTGAATCAGCCTTACGCTTAGTTGGAGGATTAATTGATGTTGATAAAGGAGAGGACCTGCTTGAGGCAGAGTGATTCAGTGACTTCCGAAGGTCGGACGAAGCGAGAGAAGGCGCGACTGATGTAGACTGCAGAGTCTTGCCCACGGTCGACGACGTGGAGGATGGCGGGCGCTTTAAAGGTGGAGGTGAGATGGGCCGAGCGACAGGTGACAGATTGCCATCCAGTCTTGGTGCGGTAACGTCCTGTTTTGAGCCCGTTTTGACAGGAGTGGGAGCTCTTGTAGAATCGGCGGGGTTTCTGACGTCTTGGGCAACCTTCAGACGCTTTCGAGGGCCATCCCGGGTTGCATCCGTCGAGGTATCAGTCGACCTTTTTGCCGACGTTCCTGACGCGTTGAGTGCCGGTGCTGACGGTGCCGCCATCTTATCCCTGTCAGCTTTATGCTGGAAGAGGCACATGAAAGCTGTGCATTGCTCTCCCTTGGGACAGGGAATGTGTTTGAGGTCTACAAAGGACATTGTGATAAGACTTTCCCCCGCAACTGTGTAGATACAATGGTTCTGTGGTACAATGGCGGGAGCGGCTGACGTTGCTGCTTCCTCTATCGTTTGTTGCTACGCAGCTGAGGGAAGGTACGAGAGACTGCCAGAGCCTCGTTCGCAGATAGAAGCAGACACAGACACAGCCGCAGATAGAAAGAGTGGATTGAGACTACCGGGCTGTTGGCGTGTGAAGAGCCTGGGTGGGCACGAGAGGGAAAGAGGTAGATTGAGCGTGAAAGCGCCGATTAAGGCCTCGAAGATCCGGGGGAATGGTGCGAGGATCTCATAGCCAAAACCGCAGACGCAGACGGGTCCAATGTCGTTGTGACGTTCCAGTCGGATAATTCGCGGGCCCACAGACCAAGGGACCTTGGGCGGTGAGGCGTGCAGACCGGGCGAGGCTGACACAAGAATGGAATAAGATTGGTGTGATGATCCAGAAGACAACAACGGAAACATCCAAGGCATAAAGATGGGTTGGTTTGGGACAGCGTCACAGATGGTTGATGTGTCTCGAATGCCGTCGGAGTTGGGATGAAGGGAGGCTCCGAGCGTCTGGAAGTATTAGGTAAGGCGACCAGCTTGGAGCTCTGGTGGGGCCGGCACCCGAGAATAGGTAAGGTAGCACGGTATCCGTAGGTAGGTGCGTCGCGTCAGGAACGTTGAGGTGACGGTTGGTAACTTCCATTGGTAGGTAGCATCCACCCACCCTGCCGCCGCATCCAGTAGGTCTGCCGGTTTGGATTTCGCAGCTTCCAATACATTCGCCTGTCACTGCCACGCAACTCGGGCACACAACGATGGAACTCGCCAAAGTGTTCATGTCCTTGTAAGATAAGGCAACACGCAATAGGAAAAGATCGAGCTGGACGGCTGACGTAGTGCAGGCTGGAATTGAGCTCGAAGGTTGCACCCTTTCTGTCCCTTTCAATTGAGAGTTGTTTCGACGCCGTTACATCACCCGCCCGAGTCAAGATGAGAGTGTTCCAGCCTTTACCATCTCTACCTGCATATGAACACACCAAAGCGACCCCAAAGCGGCAAGGCCACACAGGTCTGCTATCGACCTGTCACTTTTCTAGACAACCCCGGCATCTTCGTTCCTGAAATTTAGGAAATCAGTAGGCCCGCGATATCTCCCCCCAGGAAGAGCCTTACCACGGTAGTTCCAGGTACGCAAACTCTATTTCATCTACCGTCTCATCTTTGGCGGCCCAAAATCAGACAGATACACACGGGCGCCGAGGCAACTTGGGAATACGGATACATGACCGGGGCTTCCACTTTACGCAGCATGCTCGACATCTTGCACCTTATCATTCTCGTTGCTTACATCTAACGGCAACATGACAGGCCACGTCGTGCGCCCAGTTGTTTGTGCTCGCCAGATCCGACATCTCTTATCGGATCCGCACGGGGCTGCACAGACATGGTCTCGCATGTGATGGACCTGGTGATCAGCCTGTCCTCTCTTATCCACCACCACCACCTCTCGTTTCTCGAGTTACTGCGTACACAATAATGAAAGTGCAGTCCTTGGCCCTTCCTTGCATGGGCAGGGTGACGCAGACACGCAGAGCAGGAGAGTCAAAGGACGCCAACGAAGCCACAGCCATTTCTGTTGCCGCTGATAACGGGTCTGCGGCATCAGAGCCCCGGTGGGTGCTAGTGGCACCAAGCGGTTTGGCGAAACCATGGGCAGCCCTGGTCTCGAGGATGGACTTGCCTATCGCGGTGCAACGGTTGGACAGGAGCTACTGGCGGTGAATACCCAATAGTGCAGAGTACGGCCGGGAGACATGTTCTGAGTTTGTTTATCGAAGAGGCCGTTATCAAGGAGCAAGATCGAGCGAGGGGTTCACAAACCAATCTGGCTCCTGGGCGATTCCATCTTCTCGGGAGTGTCTATAAATGAGGCCTTCGTTGCCCACCACCTCGGGAAAGTTCGCGCACTGAATCTCTGGGCATGCCGAGCTGACGCGCAACGAATGACCTGCTCCAAACAGGCTACATGCACGAGACGAGAAAGCTGGATAGCCCCGGCGCGACACCTTGGACGTGGTGGACGAACTTCAACTCCAACGTCGAATTGGGTTCTCACCAATCAGCCCTATCGACTGCTAGCAAGGAGTAGCGGCTTGCACGCGTTCTCAGGGTCCCCTCCATCTCACAGCACTCTCGTCCCTTCGTCCCGAAATATTCCCCAACATCGACCATCTTGCGAGCTCACCCAAACCAGACTGACAAGCTGAGAGTTCTGCATCTCGAGGCGTGGTCACGGATCGCCATCCGGACAAATTGATTCCACCCCACCTTAGCCGCACACTCGTACCCGTTACGCTGCAGCCCTCCACTCTATCAGCAAGGTCCCAATCGAGACGTCGCGTGCGCGCATTCCATTCCAGTCAAGGTTCCCTCCCGCACGGTACGGAGTGCTCTGTACAGCGTGCAGCCAAGGAGACTCCGCGATTTACGAGCAGCTTAGACGAGTGACTGCAGCCTGCAAAGGCGAATCATCAGGCCGCTGAAGCCACGCGGCGCACGGCACCCCACCCAATAGCGCCTCGAAGCACACCCCCATAGGAGACTACCGGAGCAACAGCTGCCTTATCTCCCCCCTTAATTCAAGGGGACACAAACACCCGACAGCAAACGCCGCTCCGCTAGAGTGCGGCGGCGTGCTGCTGGGGCCCAGTGTCGGTGTCATTGAATTTCACAACCTAAGCAGTTCTGTCCTGAGCGGACTTCAGGCGCCCCCTACGGTCGGGCTTCGCGGATTGTCCGTTGGAGGGACTCTTGTGGTCGCCCCGAGAATTTAACTCGGAGCGCGTCCCACTAGAGTTTCCCTTCGACGTTCTCCATCGCAACTTTTCTCAACGTTGTTGCCCTTTTCTGTTCGCTCCATTGACCGGTCCCTGATCTCATCCGACGACTACACTATGGATTACACCGGCGGCACCGCAGAGGCCGATCATCTCTGCGTACTGGTTCATGGGGTTCGTTCACATCCGTCTCCTTGTTCCATGTCATTCCCTCGTCTTGGGCTCTGCAGAACCCTTGTGCACCGTTTCCGACGACGTCATGATTGTTCCTGAGCTAACGCGACGCCGCCTCGGCTCCATAGCTTTGGGGTAACCCCAACCACATGGCCCAGATCGCCCAAAGCTTGCGCGCCAAGTACTCCGCCGACAAGCTACACCTGTTGCTTGCAAAGCGAAACAGTGGCTCGTTCACGTACGATGGTATCGAGCGTGGTGGTGAGCGCGTGTGCGCCGAGATTGAGGAGGAGCTGCGCCTTATCGAGGAGAAGGGCGGTAAGATCACTAAGCTGAGCGTCGTCGGATACTCACTCGGAGGTCTCGTTTCCCGCTACGCCGTTGGCCTGCTTCACTCCAAGGGCATCCTCGACACTGTGGAATGCATGGTATGAAAGCTCTCCCCTAACGTCGGAGAAGAAGACGACGACTGACCTGTGGTAGAACTTTGTGACCTTTGCCACGCCACACCTCGGTGTTCGCACGCCGCTTCGGGGATGGCACAACCATTTGTGGAACGTTCTCGGAGCTCGCACACTGTCCATGTCTGGCCGTCAGCTGTTCACTATCGACAACTTCCGCGATACCGGCCGACCACTCCTCGCAGTCTTGGCCGATCCGAACTCCATTTTCCTTGCCGGATTGAAACGTTTTAAGCGTCACACCCTATACACCAATATCGTGAACGACAGAAGTGCCGTGCACTATACTACCGGCATTACCAAGACCGACCCCTACACCAATATCGACAAGATCAAGGCCAATTTCTTGGACGGCTACGAGGATGTCATTCTGGACCCAAGCCATCCCGTGGCGCCAAAGCCAAAGATCTCGGAGCCGGCCACACTCTCTTCTGTTGCCGGTGCGGGCTGGAAGTGGATCCAGCGCGTCCCCTTCGCCGTCGCTCTCACAATTTTCGTCCCCATTGGCATAATCGCATTTCTCATCAGCTCTGTCGTTCAGACTGTTAGATCATCGAAACGCATCCAATTGCATGAGAAGGGCCTGGCAGGCGTGGCGATTGACGAGTACCGCGGCCCGCTGTGGATGAAGGAGATTCGAGAGGAAGTGGAGCATGTATACGAGACCCTCAACAGCTCCCAGGACCAGCAGTTCCTGGGCAGTGAATCGGACGAGGATCTGGACGAGGTTGAGATGGATCGTAGCACCACACAGTTGCTGGCTAGAGAGAGACGCATGTCGATGCCGTCGCAGCCAACTCTCGCCCTTGCGCCCTACCAGTTCCAGATGATCCAGGCACTAGACTCCGTGGGCTGGCACAAGTATCCCGTTTGGATTCACAAGGACCGGCACAGCCATGCCGCTATCATTGTGCGATGGGAAAAGAAGACGTTTAGCGAAGGCCATGTCGTGCTCAAGCACTGGCTCAACGAAGAGTTTACGGTCTAGATGAGTTGCTCGTCTTTTTCTTTTTTGAGTCCGCGTTGGAGTCGGCGTTCGAGTTGGAGAAGCGATGGATTTAGAAATATTGCTCCTCTCGGAGAGCTTAAATTACCCCCTTTACAAATTATGTTCAACCGTATGTTTACAATCGTAGACTTTTGGTACCTCGGTAATGATTGGAGTGAAGAGTGTGTGTGTGGCCCTTCAAGGCTCATATCTGATCAGGTTGCCAAATTACATTTTCCGTGATGCCATACCACGCCACTAAAAGTGGCCTTTAAGGTCTTTTCATCTCAGTCAGATGTTTTCATTGGTAATTGTAGGTATCATCAGACTCACCCCTTTCCCTGGAGTCGAGATGTACTGTTCATATCACCTGACTCTACAGAAACCAAACACAAAACGAGGTATCCATTCGATGCAGTCTATTCCGGCCTCGACCCATAGTAGAGCCGCCTCATCTTCCCAACTCTTCTCTCCCCAGAAAGGGCCTCTCGCATCCCGCCTCGCTTCACACCCTCCAAGTATCCTCCAGAGTCTCCGGGGCGTCATCAGACAAGGATTTGGCCCTCTCGCTTATTCGGAAGGCGCACTCTGGCCCATCCCGGCTCCCCAGGCGGCACTAGACTCGTAACAGGCATGGCCCACAGGGGTCTTCCGCCCCTCCTCCCTTTCACGACCCTTGGACGGGATGGTCCGTGGGCCCCCCATATTCTGGAGAGTCCAGGACCAATGAGTTTCCGATTACGCCGACGGTTGAGGGTGTCTATCGCTCGGAAAAGTCAATTGCGTCGTTGAGAGCTTCGTCGACCGACCCTGGCGTCCAAACATAACTCAGTTGGGAGATGTGAGAACTCTCGATGGTTCTTACCACTTTTTCTAACCTCCCAATGTTCGTCTCCGCCGAGGTCGCGGCAATTGGGTAGTTCAGAATGAAGACCTCGAAACTAGCAAAAGAGACATCTGCCCTCTTGAACAAGATGGCTCCTCGCCCTTCCTCCCCGACATCATCATCAACAATATCACAACAGCCGTCTCAAACCCGCCGGACGACGCGCTCCTCACTTGCGCGGTTCGCATATACCTCAACATCTTCGGCCTCTGCCACGGAATCCAAAACGACGGCGGCGGCGACGGCGACAGAAGCCGCACTTCATGATCTAGTACTGGGCGTCGCCGACATTGAAGATGTAGTCCCGAATCCGCGGAGCAGGAAACGGAGAAGGGTTGCAAAGACGGAGGAACAAGATGGCCACAGTACACCAGACGCCGCAGTCGCTACCGCAGCAGCAGCAACAACATCACCAGCCAGAATCAAAATCGACCACGTCGAAACCGAAACGACATCCACGATCCACCAAACCCAATCCCCCCCGAAACCACGCAAAGCTCGCAAACCAGCCCGCGTCATCCGCGGCAACGGTACCTCTCCATCCTTAGAATCACCACACATCGAACCCCCTTCCGATTGGCTCGAAATCTACGACGCTGTAAAGAAAATGCGCCTCCACGGCGCGGCGCGCGACGCCGCTGTTGACACAATGGGCTGCGAGCGCCTCTTCCACCCTGACGCCTCGGAGCGCGACCGCCGGTTCCACATTCTCATCGCGCTCATGCTCTCGAGCCAGACGAAAGACACGGTCAACGCGGTGGCTATGAAGAGGCTCATGACGGAGCTGCCTCCGCATGAACCCTCCGCGCCAGCCGGATTAAATTTGGAGAATATTTTGGCCGTGGAGCCTGTTTTGCTGAATGAGTTGATTTGGGCTGTGGGTTTTCACAATAATAAGACAAAGTAAGTCTTCTCTGGCGACGGTCATACGCGAAATAGGGGTTCACATTCGATCATTTTGTGCAAGTGGAAAGTGCTCACTCTGGGTGTGTCAGATTTATCAAAGCAGCAGCCATCATCCTTCGCGACAAATTCGACAGCGATATCCCCGACACGATCGAAGGTCTCACCTCCCTCCCCGGCGTGGGGCCCAAGATGGCCTATCTCTGCCTCTCGGCGGCCTGGGACCGCACCGAGGGCATCGGCGTGGACGTGCACGTGCACCGCATAACGAACCTCTGGGGCTGGCACAAGACGACGCAACCCGAGGCGACGCGGCACGCGCTGCAGAGCTGGCTGCCGAAGGATAAGTGGCGCGAGATCAACTGGCTGCTCGTCGGGTTCGGACAGACGGTCTGCCTCCCTGTCGGACGCAAGTGCGGCAACTGCGAGCTGGGGTTGGGAGGGTTGTGTAAGGCGGCGGAGAGGAAGAAGGTTAATGAGGGACGCAAGGCGAGGCAGGTCAAGGTTGAAGTGAAGGAGGAGGAGGAGGCCAGAGAGGTTGTCATCAAGGCAGAAGAAGTCATCAACGAGGAGCAGGTAATTCGTGATGTGGTTGTGAATCAAGGCATGGGGGAGCCGGTTCCGGCAGATGATGAACCGAACGTAGTTGCGAATACGGATGCACCGCGAAGAAGTCGCAGGGGCGGCTCATCCCGGTAAAAAAAGAAGCGAAACCATATTGTACAACACTCATCACAAATGAAGCATTTGACCATCTTGTCATGGCCATTGATAACGCTGTACTCGAATGCGCAACATCAGCGCAGCCGCGGAATTGCAGAAATGTCGTGAATGTCCGCCGGCAACGCATTCGACCACGCGACCAACGGAATGCCCGGGGCCTGCTTGAACCTTTCGGGGGCATCGGTGGAGAGCGGGGCGCCGAATCATTCGGAGGAATTCCGAGTTTCGAGGTGCGGAATAAGAAAAGAGGCTTTGCCGTGCCTGCCGATTGTTCCCGACACTGTGTGTGGTCAGCTGGTCCGAGAGAAAGAGAGAAGACGACAGACGGTGGTAGAAGCCAGAGAAAGAAGGGGGCGACTCAGATACGATATCGGAGATAGACCGGAATTCGCCCCGTTGGGTCCATTTACGCCCGTGCTCCCCCCCCCCGTGGTGCCGTCATTGTCGTCCACTTTCCATGAGGTAGTGTGACGTGGAAATCGGCGCAGGCGGAGGGCGGAAGGGTGGCTGACTCGCGAGGTCAGAGGACGACGAAAGCGGCCACATGAAGCACAGCGTGCCACAGCTTGCAGGGACCGAAGGAAAAAAAACAGATTTCTTTGCCCGCCGGCGCCTCTCCTCATCGAGGTTCTGGAACAAGGTGGTAACGGAGTAAAAAAAAAAAGGGTCAAAGTTTTGACGCACTTTTGAAAATGTTCGTCCGTGGTTTCATTCGGCTGAAATGGCGGATGACTCTGAACTGACCCCGGCGACTCGCTGCCCACTCCGCTGCCGGAAATGCCATATATCATGTGATCTTGTAGTAGTCAGTTCGGCTAGTCGTGAAACATGAAATAATACATTTATCAAAAAAGGGCTGAGAGATAGAGAGAGAGAGAGAGATCAGATGTGATGAAGTGAGTCAATATTTAATAATTGTCAAAATTTGATGGCCAACCCTATGCTTGGCGACCGCTCCAAATGAACTATACGCCGATACGCCGTGCAGAGGAAGTATGAGGCCGAGCTATCCTAAGCCGAAATATGATATACATCATGGGTGTAAGCGATTCGGACGGGATGCCGCTTTGAATCGTGCAAATGACGCGAGGAACGCTGTTGTCGCCGCTGTCGCTAGCTACTGCTGCAGCGTTATAATGCGAGCTTGAAAAAATCTCGCAAGAACTGTGTCGAAAAAAAAAAAAACTGATCCTTCGTGTCGTGCAGAGGTCCCAACGTTTGAGGAGGACGTGCGATAAGGGGATGAGACTTGCGCCCTACGCTGGCCTACCAGCCGCTGGTATTATCCAAGCAGTGTCCGGCCCTAAAGGCTTAACTCGTGGCATCCTGACGAGTATTTATGACTGCGCCCCCATGGTGGCGTGCGGTTGGCATCGGGTCTTGGTGTTTGTAGATGCGATTATACCCCGCGGATAACTTGAGTGCGCTCGCTCTCGAGTTGCGCCGCATTCCGCGCATGTGATTGCTTCTTGCACTGAGCACGTGGGTTAGCAAATGAGCTCTTCATCTAGTAACACGGTGCTGAGGCCAAGAAGCCACGAAGAAACTGATCTGGATGCAGAACTTACATCTTCCAGGCCGTCGCACTTGTGGTCTTCGAGAAGACGGTGCTTGCCGCAGAAGTGGCCGTTACAGAATCCGCAGTCACCGACGATGCGCTGAGCGGCGTCCTTGCATTCCTTGAAGGTGCAGCGGATCTTCTTCTGAGGCATGATGGGTGGTTGTTTGGGAGGGGGTTGATAATGTGTTTTCTGGTGTGGTCGTCGGAGAGCGACAGTGGTTGATGGTGTGTAAGCTGCGGCGTCGAGGGACGATGTCGGACTTGATCGCAGAGGTTGACTCGTTGGGATCCGGCAGCTGCGTGGCGAGGCGGAAGATGTGAGGGGACCGAGATGGGATGAAGAAAGGTGAAAGAGGCAAGAGGAGAGCGAGGGAAAGTAGAGGTGATGAATGAGAGTAGAAGTAATAGAAGAGGACTGGAGGCGAATTGTGTCAGTCGGTCAATGATGATCTAATAAGCAGAGAGGCAGGACCGGGTCCAGGTCCAGCCAGAGCCAGGCAAGCCAGGCGCCAGGTCGAAGGCGGGAGAAGCGCTCACAATGACAACCAAGACAAGACAAGGAACAACAGACGTGGAGCAGGGGACAGGGTGGCTGGTGGAGCTTTGGGTCTGGTCTGGGGAGGGGGGTGGGTTATGTTGTTATTTATTGGGAAAATGGACATGCAGGGCACACTTCATCGGAGGCGCCAATGCAGGATTGATTAAAACGGAGACCCAAGCAACGAGGCGAGGCGTTCCCAGGCTTACCTCACCACCTCAACCTGCTAGTCTGGTGGACTACACACATCCACGCCGGGAAGAGAGGGCTCGTGGCTGCGGGAGAGCGCGAGAGTTCCTTAACTCTGGACGGTGGGGGTGTGACCACAACATCACACATCTCAGCCATACAAGTGGAAGCACTCATACCCGACCGAGCTAGATGGGCATCTGCTGAGTTGCGCTCCGATGCGCTGCGATGCAATGCACGGCCAGACCATTCTGCGGTCCACGGTGTCCACGGTGTCCCAGTGACATCCATACCGCGCACGCAGGGTGCTAAGGTAGCCGTTTCCGTTTCCGCATGCAGAATCCAATGGAACAATGACGAGAGGATGGATGTACTTGGTCTTGCACGAGATACGGAACCCGAGGTTGAAGAAGAGATGCGGTGTTGGTACAGATAACTTGGGCTATATTTTGGGCCCCCAGCCAGCCCGGCAAGCCATTACACCGACGACTCGTCGTCAAGTGATGCGTTGGGTCCTGGGAAGTGCATTGGCTCCAGTGGTAGTGGAAGCGGCGGATACTATGGTATAGTTGCACAGCCATGTGGGTGTGAGGCCAAGTAAAAGAGCAGAGAATTCAGGGTAGGGGTACCCGTACAGGAAGAAAGAGAGGCTCGACTCACCAGAGTCGAGGGTTCCCTGTTCTTTGTTCAGCCGGAACAGTGGGTGTTTCCCTGCTGCGATGTGAACAGGCAGTGAACAGCGTACGTGTGCGTCCGAGGTACCCAGAAAGTCTTAGCTCGCCAGGAGTCCAGGATTCAGTGGTGGGTGTAATCCGGCGTAGGTTGGTAGATCCGATGGAGCGGGGGTCGAGACAACGCTGATGGAGACGGGCGCGATGGAGTCAGGGTCATGTTCAAGGGTGGGCGAAACGAGACAGCGACGTACGTACGGACTACTCTGTCGCTGTATCCGTACATGGCTTTGAACTTCGGGATTGCTGATTTTGACGGACGGGGTCCAAGGCGAAGGCGGGCAAGGCAGGCTGGCTGGTGCCCGATGCTGACGCTGATGGCTCGGGGCCGGAACTGACGCTGGCACTGGCCCTGGCGCTCCAAAAACCGAGGTGTAGCTGGCAGTGCTGATTTGCGTCAAATGGGCGCTAGAGCAATGCCGATGACCCTGGTTGACGGTTTGCGATGCTCCGAAAGCGGTGGATGAACGTCGGAACAGTAGACCTGGACTGCACTGGGTCGGGTTAGGTCCCGTGCCTCTCGTGTCTCGTCACGTCGAGCATATGTATAAGATGTTCCTCCGTTGAGTGCCTGTATCCCGACTCGATGGATCACTCCTGCCGGATCAGCCCCGGAATAGCCTGTGATCGCCTGTCGAGGTTATCGATCGGTGCTGCTGCCATGGCGTTGTGGACGAAAGTAATCTGGCGCGGTGGCTGACGAGGGTTCACTGGTGAGACTGGATAGGAACGAGGGAGCTGAAAGTGCGCCAGGTACAGTGCCCCGGGAAACGAGGTAAGGATGTGTAAGTAGATTTACGTCAGTGATGGTTTGGTGATTGAGAAGATGAGGTGACTTTTAAATCCGAGTTGCAGCCAGACGAGTCGATTCGTCCCTTGCGGCCTTGCCAGCGACACAACGCAGGCCGCAGAAGGGTCGTGTGAGGTTTGACAAAAGTCCTGGGCCCGAGTCAGGCAGATGCAACGCGGCGAATGAAGACATGAAAGAGTTGAACGGTGCAGAATTCGAGGTGTAGATCGAGCTACATGGCCGAGCCAAGAAGGAGGTTGTTCAACTACTTACTCCGTAGCAAAAGGGAAGACCCATGATACAGTGATGAGAGAGGCACGGTGCTGCTGCTGCTGCTGCTGCTGCTGCTGCTGCTGCTGCGGCGGCGGCGGCGGCGGCGTCTGCTGCATCTGCTGTCAGCTTCGCCCTTACCTAAGATGTCTACATTGGTAAAGTGCCTATCTGTCGACTCAAATTTCTTCCGTGCCCTCACAATGCGAACATGTCGACTTTGCTGGTGTGGCCTAGTCAAGCCCACCGCATAGCTACTTCAACCTCAAAGACGCAGCTGTCGCCACCTCAACCCTCCCTCCATTTCTTCGGATTGTCGAAGAACGGTCGGAGGACGGTTACGTAAGTCATTTGCTGCGCAGCTCAGCAGCCCTGTTCGTCCTTCAACTGAGCCAAGCCGGCCAGCCCTCCTCATCTCCAACAGGCACCAAGCTAGGCCTGCACTTCCACAGTGTCAAACGAGACAAGCTTAGGCCGTTTACGGATACTCTGCTACGGACACTCTCGCAGTACATGGCACTGCTTGGTACGGCATGGCAATGGTCACTAGCGACAGCATGGCCTCATGGAACATGGCTTGTGCTGGCACCCGAGCTGCAGGAAACATCCCAGCTCGCTCTGCACCAGCTCGTGCCCTAGAACCGAAATGGCTGGTGATGAATGGGCGACTGACTTGGTGTTGTTCACCAATCGCGCCGCAGTCGCCTGTCCCAAGCCATCGTCGTCGTTACCCTTTGTTCGCTCTCGCCAACGGCATCCCCCCTCGAGGTACCGATTGACTGCCGTAACGTTCCGAATCTGATTAGTAGAGAAGAAAAAATCTCCTAGATGCTACGGATACTCCGACAGGCTTTGAAGCTCGCCTCGGCCGCTCAATACTCGCTGGACCTGCACGTC